CCGCTCAACCAACAGTTGGCTGCCGCTGCAGTTCCCGGTCAAGCCTCCGGGCCATCGACGGATCCCCCTGCTCCGGGATTGGCCGGTACAACCGGTGAAGCTACAGACGATTCTCCGCTGTCAACGGATGAGATCGTCACACTGTTGGCCCAGGCCATCATCATCAAGCGCACCTGCGCAACAAGAACACAACAGCTCCAAGCTATCATCTCCTTTGTCGCTAATTATGGACCGTGAACCCATAAAGATCGCCAACTGGAACGCTCGCTCCGTAGGGGCGAAAAACATTGAGCTTGCAGACTTCCTCCGCAAGCACGACATCGACGTGGGCCTTCTCACCGAGACTCACCTCAAGACCGGTGACAGCTTCTGGCTGCCCGACCACAGCATTGTCCGGCTTGATCGCACCAGCTCCAGGGGGGGCGGTGTCGCGGTCATCATCAAGAAAGGCATCAAGTACTGCACCCTACCCCACTACCGCACTTCCATCATCGAGGCCGTCGGCGTTGAGGTGGAAACATCGACCGGAAACGTCCGGTTCATCGCCGTCTACTGCCCCCGGCAATGTACCGTTAGCAATGGTACAGCACAGCAGTTCAAGAACGACCTTGCCATCATAACCCACACCAATGCCCGCTTTGTAATCGGAGGGGACCTGAACGCCCGGCACGAGGCCTGGCGGAACTACCAGCAGAACCAGAACGGCCGCCTGCTATTCGACCATTCCCAGCATGGTCTCTATTCCGTCTGGTTTCCGGACGAACCAACCTTCACATCACCGACGGGCAACCCATCGACGCTGGACCTGTTCTTGGCAAACACCAGATTAGCCAAGCCGGTTGCCGTCAACGACCTGAGTTCGGACCACCAACCGGTGCTGACCGAGCTGGGCTACAACGTGGCCCCTGCACCGTGCCAGCGGAAGGACTACCATCGAGTCAACTGGGTCCAGTTTCGACGCGTGGTCGACCGCCACATCGACGACAACACACCGCTCGACACAGTGGATGACATCGACCGGGCCCTGGAGGGTCTCCATCAAGCCATATCCGTGGCTGACGAAGAGTGCGTTCGACGAGTTCCTGTGAGGGGTAAGTTTCAAGCAATTGATTCCCACACCAAACTCTTGATTCGGCTCAGAAATGTTCGTAGACGCCAGTTTCAGCGGACTGGGGATCTGCAGCGTAAATACGAAATGGTCGATCTGAATCGGCAGATCGCTTCCAGAATGGTCTCAATCCGGAACGAGAGTTTCGGGCGGCTCGTTCAGAACCTGGACGACCGTTCCAGACCATTCTGGAAGGTTGCCAAGGTGCTGAAGTCTCACCCCAAGCCCATTCCACCACTTAGAGTCAATGACGAACGGCTTATCACCAACGAAGAGAAGGCCAATGCGATTGGGGAGCACATTGCCCAGTCGCATTTGCTTGGCTCTAAAATCCCAAGTCCACTCGAGAACCAGGTTGCGCAGTGCGTCCTGACGTTAGATGCCTCCCCTTGTGCCGTCCCTCCAGAAGAACGGATTACAGAGGAACAAATTTGCTCAGCGCTGAAATACAGTAAGAACATGAAGGCTCCCGGGTTTGACGGAATATTCAACCTAGCGTTGAAAAATCTCAGCCCGAGGGTGCACTCGCTGCTAGCTGCCACCTTCAACAGATGCTTGGAGCTGCACTACTTTCCAAGCATCTGGAAGGTGGCAAAAATCATCCCGATCCGCAAACCTGGGAAAGACCCTTCACTACCGTCAAGCTACAGACCGATTAGCCTGCTCTCAGCGCTGAGCAGTTGTTCGAAAAATTGATCCTCAGCCGACTAAACAAGTTTGTGGAGGAACATGACATTCTTCTTCCGGAACAGTTCGGGTTCCGTAAGGGGCATTCCACCAATCATCAGCTAGTGCGGGTGATGAATAACATCCGGAGTAACAAAGCTGTATCCAAGTCCACAGCCATGGCCTTGTTAGACGTCGAAAAGGCGTTTGACAATGTCTGGCACGACGGACTTATATACAAGCTTTGTAACTCCAACTTTCCACCATACCTTGTGAAAATCACCCGTAACTATCTCCAGCAAAGGTCGTTCAGGGTGTCGTTGAATAGTTCCCTTTCGGGACAATTTCCGATCCCAGCAGGTGTTCCGCAAGGGAGTCTGCTGGGACCACTGCTTTACAGCATCTACACGTCGGACATCCCTACTCTAGGAGACGGTTGCGTGTTCTTTCTGTTTGCAGATGACACCGCGATAGCCGTCAAGGGTAGGATGCCTCGTGAAATTACGAACAAGCTCCAACGATGCCTTGACACCTTTACTGATTATGCCACCACGTGGAAAATCAAAATCAACGCCTCGAAAACCCAAGCGATCATGTTCCTTCACAGACAATCATTAAAACTTAAACCGTCTCCCTCCTGTACCGTAATAATGGATGGTACAAGGGTCGAGTGGTCCACTGATGTTACTTATCTCGGGATGTTGTTCGATGAGAAGCTCCTGTTCCGCTCGCACATAGAGAAAACCCTAGTTAAGTGCTCCGCCTTGGTTAGGTGTTTGTATCCGCTCATTTGCCGCAGATCCCGCCTCTCAAGGCAAAACAAACTGGCTGTTTACAAACAGATCATAGCCCCCGCGATCTTCTATGCCGCCCCGGTGTGGGAATCGTGCGCTCAGACCCACAGGAACAAAATCCAGGTTGCACAGAATAGAGTGTTGAGGATGATCCTAGATCGTCCATTCGACACAAGAATAGCAGACCTCCATCAAGAGGCAGAAATTCCCAAAGTAGATTCCAAAATTGATGATATGACAACTAAATTTATTCAAAAATGCAATCTTTCTGAACATGCTTTAATAAGCAATTTGTACATAGTAGGTTAAGTGTATATAGTAGAGTAGGTTAGTTTTAAGCTGTAAATAGTAGTATTAAGTAGTTTCTCTTCAAATTCTAAAAACAAAACAAACCAATCCCACCAAGGTGGTCGACCGTGTACTAAGTCTAGGACTAATTCTGTAAAACAAATTTTGAATTTTGCCCATACCTAAAGATGAAGAAAGCAATTAAATCACTTAGTAAAAATTTATATGGAAATCGCCCAAGTTAAACTAAAATAAAGATCATTTAAACTAAACTATGCCTGTAAAAGCAGTAGCAAAAAGCGTCTTCTGGCCAGTCTGTCGTCGTCGATATTGAGGTATGGAGGTCCAGCCTGGGCTGCAGCACAGGACACGAAGCAGAACCAAAGGAAACTGAGCAGTACGTTCCGGATCATGGCCATACGAATCATGAGTGCGTACAGAACCATCTCGTCACTAGCAGTATGCGTTATCGCCGGAATGATCCCTATCGGCACCACCCTGGCGGAGGACAGCGAGTGCTACAGGCGGAAAAAAGCCGGAAGAGTACGGAAAGTTGTGAGAGTGGAGCTGAGAGTATGACAAGTGCATGAGCACAGCCACCCCCCGAAGTAGTCGCTTCACCGTGGTCCCTGGGGGATCCAGGCAAAGAAGAGAGTAAGGAATGGGTTTTAGTGGAGCTGCACTAGGCACTAGTGGATACCACACCGTGCCAACTTCACTACAGGCCAGGCTTCTTGAAGCTATCCTAAAGCTTACTATTTGAAAAAAAAAAATAAAAAATAAATCAGACACACACATTGTCATTCAACTTGGCGAAAATTTCCAACGACAATACAGTACAGTGTGGGGCAACACGTTTCCGATGTCTTTAATTAGCATATTCTCTGCACTTTAAAAAAAACCAATTTAATATTTTTCTTATACTTTCTAGATGAAGCATTGGGCGAGATCAAATAATCTGGTTTTTAATTAATTTAATTTGTGAATAACAAAGAAGGCAAACATTGTGTGTTGCCAAAATCGCACCCTTATTGTATTATGTTCCTCACATGTATTAAATACGAGAAAGAGGTAACTTACTTTAATATAGCTTACAAAAGCTGAAGCTTTCGACTTCAACTTTAACACCTTTGCGTGTGTCTTTATTACAAAGGTAGGTGAAAAAATATGCAATCGCTCCCACCTTAATTTCTAGTTTATGTTTTTTTCTTTCAGGCATTCCAGAAAGTCTAGTGCTCAACAAGTTGGTGTTGTGGTTATGTTCACAAGAAATACCTATTGATAATTTAAAATCACAATTTAACACGCTGTTTTACATGCGTTAAAGTTAATATTGCAGCTAGACACATGTTTTATCATTTTGATTATCTAGGTCATTGTGAGATTGAAATGAAGAAAAAATATACTTTGATGTAGCATGGTGTAGCACTACTTCATGATGTGCAATACGCGTCCAACAAATTAATTTTTATTTTTTAAATGTTTATCAACGCCAATCTTTATTATTAGCCATAGTTTAGTTTATCTCAGTAATCCAACACATTTAATACAAACAGCAACATCTATAATTTATGCGAGACTAGTTAAATTACGAAAAATAAATAAGAGTTATGTTGAAGCGAATTGAAGAATTGGGAATTAGTACTGCATCCTATTCAGAATTGTACGATTCTTCACTATTAAAACAATGCATATCAAAAAAATATTACAAATGTGCCCACATAGTATTTTTTTTAATAATCTTCTTGTCATGCCATTTCCATTTTTTGTGTTATTTTGCATAAACCCACGACACTTTTCCCATTCCAATAAAAGTACTTAAATATGGAAAATTTATAAATTTTAATATTTATCCCTAAAAAAAAGTATTATTATTCTCAACGGCTACCTTATCCTCCACAGTGTGTCTATTGTATGGGTTGAATCGCACTTTTGGGAGATTAGCCTGGGTGGCGTATAAAAAAAATCAAACATGAAATGTAAATGTTTACATGTTGTGTGAAAGAAATTCACAGTTAGTAGAGGGTGTTCCTTCATTGCTACTATCATTATTCATTTTTCATTGGTGGAGTGAAGTTACGCCTCTGATATTTGCAAGCATCAGATATAAGTGTAGAATGGATGATATCGATCGAAAATCTCCAATGAAACGGAAGCCTTCCGGAATTTTAAAATCGGACCCAATAAAAAATCGTAAACCTTCGGGACTATCAATAGATCTTAAATCGTCAAAAACATTAGACGACGAGGTAAGTATTATGATAAGCAAGATAATACTCGGTGAATCCTCCTATATTCACCATAAACCATATTCATTAATATGAATCTGCGGCAGTCATAGACAAAGATAGTTCGCGTGACTCTTTATTATAAATATAAATGATAGAACATTAGGAAAACGCCTATCACTTAAATGTTATCATCAACGCAAATCTATTCACGAGGAATCCTCGACTGGAAGAATGAAAAGTGAAAAAGAAATATATGCACATAAACATTTCTTCGTGGCGAATGGGTAGGACCATTCTTTTTGACTTATGGTAAGCTCCAGCTTCGAAAACGAATGTAAGTGTGAACTGGAGTTTATTAATTGTGTTTTCTTTCGCTATCGTGCCACCACCATCCGGGCTCCCACGAAGAAAGTATAAAAATTAATTTTTCGCTCGGACCGTAAAATGCTTTCGCACGTTGGGAGGCCCTCCTACGTTAGCAATAATCATGAGCCAGATATCTTTTAGTTTTAGATTGCCATTCAAGGAATACAAGCGTATGGACTAGTGTTATCTCTGAATATTACAGTTTTTGTTTTTGTTGTTGAGAAATATTAATATGTTGGTGTTCAAAAATCGTCCTTTATTATGTGGATAGCTCACAGGATTTTTGTTTGATTAAGTGGAATTAAGTGCTTTGCTGGACGAGGAATACAGAGTTTAATAAATGTATGCGTGTTAATGGGTCACGGCCCTGAAGTTATAATTAACTTTTAAGCAATCAGTCATATAATACAACCGTCACAAAAGCTTACCGTATGGAAATGTTTATGAATCAAAATAGTAAACTTAAAAATATTTTTTTAGATTCATATTGCTACAAAAAAGGTCGAGAAATAATTGTAGATCAGAAAAAAATACTTTAATATTTTTATAGCACATATTTTACTCTTTAGAACAGGGTTTCTTCCACTCACTTGCTATAAAAAATGATATTCTGAATTTTGAAATCATTAGAAGTTATAATGCTATTTTCTACTTGTTAGAAACAAAAAGAGGTTGAAAGGCAAGTGTTTGACACATAAAACCTGTCAATTTCGCTTCCAGAGTGTTACAATGAGTAATTTTATGATTCGTGAGCGTTCACTCAGAGTGAGTCGTAAGATCGCTTTTTGTGACAATCTGAAAGCCAATTTGACAGGTTTTATGTATCAAGTAAGTGGAAGCAAGTCTGTCTTAATGGATTACATAAGGAATCAAACGGAAGTCATTTATTTAGTATATGCTTAACAGATCTCATTATGTTGGTATATGAAAGTGTTACCCATGTAAAACGGGTTAATATAAATCTGAAGACAAATTAAAATAATACAAAGTTCAGAGCAGGCATAAACTTCAGTTTGAACGTCATAAGCCATAAATAAGATAAAGATCCAACCCAAACAAATATTGTAAACGTAAGTATGTATTTCTTACACAATCTCTAAGTTCTTTAAGTCAAATTTATTGAAAATTACTAAAAATGATCTGTTCTGCCGCTCATGGTTTAGTGTGATTCGAATTTAGCAACACATAGATAAGTTGAAACCATACCACAATCGAAATCTTGTTCGAGCTGTCCCAATTGAGTTTTCAAATTACGTCACATTATGAATAAATACACCCAAGTGTGTTATTTCATTCTATGTGGCCGGTGGAAACTAACGATATTTAATTGGCTCACTACTTGACTAGCCTATTGATCCCAAGCATTAACGTACCAATTTCTAGTTGAAATTCTAGTACTACACTATGTTTGTTTTGATTCGCTATGAAAGTTTGACAAATGTAGCATGACTATTTCTAAAATTTTGTCAAAATCAATATTGTACTGTCATTCATCTTATAGTGATAATACAGCCATGGATCCAGGGTATCCAAAAGGGGGCTCCTCCATGGATCCCTGAATACTGCGATATTCATGGTAACAACAAAATCGACGACCTAGCAGCTACAAGCTGCTATAACCAGATGGCCACAGTGGGACCGGATGTTAAAAAGTTTGTTAAATCTATCATTCATGGACCATGTAGCCCCAGAAATGTGCCACCAGAATGGCGCCGTTGAAGGGTGAAAGAAACAGCTGAGTGGATGTTGAAAACTGGTGACACGCAACTCACAATATGGGTAGAGCATCCTCCTTTAGCAAAAGATGCGACTACTGTCTTACGAGATGATCTAGCCAACGAGCTACAAATCTCGCTAATAAAGATTTAACAAAATGCGACAACTGTAAAACGACTATGACGGTCGAACATCTCCCTATGACGGTCGGAAAGGCGCAGCTACAAAGCAGAAGCTATTCAGAAAAAAATCTTTATCTGAAATATGTTTTGAACAATTGGTTTCACTGATTGATGTAGTTTGATGTAGTAGATGAATTCGTATCATATATTTGTGAAAAATTGGAAAATTGGTATCCCATGATTATATTAAAACTCAGTAGATTAGTTTCTAAAGAGTTGCAAAAAATACTCTAAAAAATGGCAATGTTGTAATAGTTAGCTATTTTTCATCCGTTTTGCATTTATTTTTCACCTGATACACTTAAAAATTTAAGTTTTATCGTAACTTCAAAAACGATACAATTGCGGTACAAGTATTTATTTCAAAATGACTGAACTTTTTGCAAAAAAAAATATAAGTAAAAAAGCAACGTTTATGTCTGATGAAGCTGCATCCCAATATAAAAATTGTAATTTTTTTGCAAGGCTTTTGTAAATTTTAAACGAAGAACAATATTGATGCTGAATGGCATTTTTTTTAGCAACTTCGCATGACAAGGGACCATGTGACGTAATTCGTGGCACATTGAAATGAATGGCAAGAAATGCAAGTGTAGCTGTAGAACATGAACATCCAACTACAAATGCAGTAGAGTTATAAGAATGGGCTAGCCAGAAAACTAATGATTATTTAACAAAAATGCAAATCAGGAATACGAACAGGGAGCTGCAGAATTGAGAAGCATTTTTGAACAGGCCAAAATATAAAAGGCTTATAGATTTTTTTACATACGCTATTATTAAAAAAAATTCAAAAAAATCACATTTTTTTAATATAAAATGCCAATTAAATGCACATAATATACCGTGCGGGACCGAAATCCGTACACCTAAGCACGAGAGAATCATTAACGGTCAATACTAAATAATGCTATCACATTATGCTCTGTATCACATCTTTTTCCTTTACATTTATCTTTATTTTTCCAATATTTGCAAACACCAGGTCTTAAAATTACCTTCAATTATTAGAAAAAAGGATTTAGATTGCACATATCTTGAATCAAAATCCGTACAGCGTTTTACGATTGAATCAAAATCCGTACAGTTTTGAATCGAAATCCGTACACTGTGTTGAGGATGAATCAAAATCCGTACAGTCATGAATCAAAATCCGTACATGAATGTAAATCGATCCAAATCAATGAAAAAAAAAAACGTGTTGAATAAAGTTTTTTTTTGTAGTTGCTTGGCTAAGAGTCCAAAACAGCTATATTCGTTTAAATACACTAGCATATTTGAACTTAGTACGCTGATGGTCATTTCCCATGTAAAATCGTGCGCTGAAGCCAAAAATATAGTAAAAAAAAAATCTCGGTAGGATAGTTTTGGAGATATAGGGGTAAGAGAGGCATAGTGAACAGGTGGGGCATAGTGAGCATCACGCGTGCTCCAGCTTGGACTTCCGGCCGTTCAGAACAAATTTGTTGGCTGTAGGATCAATATCTTAATGATATTGATCCTACTACCAGTTGATTTGTTTCATGCAGTTGGAGATCCAGAGCCAAAGTACGGGATGCTCACTATGCCCCGCCTGTTCACTATGCCCCTCCTTCCCCTAGCTAAAAAATGAAATCTCACGTTAAAAAAAACTAAAACACAAATATCTCTGGCTGCAATGAAGTGATATTAATTATTTTACCGCCAAATTAAACGTGATAAAATTTTATTTCGATCGTTATAACACTATTTTTCCGTGAGAGTAATGGTAGAACCACCATAAACATTTTAATTAAAATTGCTTAAAAACTTAGCAGAAATTCAATTTTTCTTAGGAAAACTTAAAAAACAAACTATTAACTAACAACAATACCATCAATCTCACTGACAATTGATGTTCAATTGATCGAACGAAAAAATTTCTTACCTCTAATTTAGCGTTAAAATAATTGATATAATCTCATTACAACCGGAGATATTTTTATTATAGTAATCAAACTTGTTTAAAGTGAATTTTAATTTTTAGCTGTATCTCAAATACTATCCTACTGACATTTTTTTCGACTACATTGTTGAATTCAGTGTACGATTTTACATAAGAATCATTCTTCAAAGGTTCATTTTTTTACTTTTACTTTTTTAACTAATGATATCAGCGTTACATTAATTGATGCTCCAATCGATTCAAAGGAGAGGTAACTGAATTCTTTTTATTTAAGAAGGTAACTGTTCTGGATTATGGTGGTGAATTGAACGGCAAAATCCCTGGATGCTTCTCGGTAAGATTTCTCCGCACGCATCATTGCCACAGTCTTCTCCAAATCCTCCTGCGTGTATTTAGTTTCCATGATCTGCTGAAAAGCATTGGATAAAGTAGAATCGTCATTAGTGATGCACAAGTGTACGGATTTAGAATCAGCTGTTATATATGGATCGAAATCCGTACAGTACTAATTTTGATAAATAAATACCATATGAACGATCCATTGCTTAGAATTGAGATATAAAACGATAAACACTTACCTTTCCGATCGACCTTCAGGAAACTACTTGCAAAAATCACTTAAATACGCTTAACAACTGGAAGTAAATCCGAGACATTTTCTTAGAAAATCGTTAAGAACACAACCGATTGACAGAAATGCCCGACACGTGATAAGGTTTTTATTTTTCTTATTTTAATTGCATGTTATACTACTTAATTGTTGAAGTAAACATCAAGCTGATGCATGAATGAACATGAATATGTATTCATGTATAATATTTACATTGTTATGATGCATATAAATAAACAAATTCAACAGGGTGTACGGATTTCGGTGCTGTACGGATTTCGGTCCCGCACGGTACCTCTTTATACATTGGGTGACATAGAAAGCTATTAATTAATAATTGTTGAAGGGCTCTAAGAACACATGAATATGTATATTGTGTGGCAAGTTTAACGATACTTTATTCAGTAGTCAAGAAAATTTACAGCCCGAAAGGCTTTCAAGAGCGGGACCGAGAATCGACCACAGTAATACCGTGAGTTATCACTATCTGAAGCACAATATATTTATGTATAAATTCTCTGTCGAATGTCTCCAGGTACATAACAAATATTGTATCGTTGATGATGATGATGATGATGATGATGATGATGATGGTGGTGGGTGTTTCAACACTCCGAAGGGTATAAATAGCGGGACCTTTCAATTAGAGTCCGATCCTTGCGATAAATGCAAGAAAGACAACTGTAAAAAAATCTAATACTTAATCATTTCTCAATAGTGATGAATTAATAAGACATGCACTAAACTAAGGACACGGGATATACTACAATATATCAAATTACTGGTCGCAGTGATGTTAGGTTCCGAACCGAGGAAAAAAAAGCTACGTATGCTGAAATTCTGAGCTTAATCGAGTTTTCTAAACCAGTTCTATGCACGAAAGAGTGAACCAATATTATTTCTCCATATATTTCACCAATATCCACAAATAAATTTAAAATCAAAAGCACCAGCTCATGTTACATCCAGGGGCGACCCCGGCGTAGGGGTTTGCATCCATACCTCTCACGCCAAAGTCACGAGTTCAAATCTCATTCCCGGATAAGTCAACAATTACCTAATAGCGTTAAAGTAACTAAAAAAAATTACATCCGAATAAGCTGAAATTTTCAAAGAGTGGTTTTCTCATCTAATGGCACAAGTGAAGTGTAGGGGTTGGCCCGTTGGAAAAAAAAAATTAAAAAATAAATTCCCCCGATAAATGTGGGCCAGTCTAATGATAAATGTTGATAGCGTTACGTAATTTGTCAAGCGTTACTTTTTGTGACTTAGGGAGGGGGAGCCTTGTCAAGCGTTACTTATTGTGACACAGGGGGGAGGGGATCCAAAATCCGGAGATTTTTTCGTTACGTTTTTGTCCGCCTAAAATATTCATAAGTATTACAAGCGGTCAAGAGTTAATGAACAATCAACCCGCAATCTGATGCTATCATCAATTTCAACAATGTAATTTCATTTATTTCATAGTAATTATATGAGCGTGATGTAATCTAAAGACTAAATAGTACATGTCACGATAAAAACAATAATTCTATTTTCCCAACAGTATTCACCCCCATCATCTGTTTCTCCACAACTGTCAGTAACATGGGCATCTCAAGTGCATGCAAGCAGCAGTGATAATGAAAAGGCAGATCGAGTCAATCTAATTAATGACGCATTTTTCGGCGAGGACAAACTGATAGAGATGAAAACTCCTGAATGCCATTCATCAAGGTAATGCACACAACATTAAAAATAAATAAATCAAAAACACATGTTCACACTACCAGCAGGAGTCAAGAGTCGGTAGACGAGGATTATTCAGCAAGCTTAAATGCAATTATCAAAAGAAAAGCAAGTATCAAAAAGAAACGAGGATCGAAACGAAATCGTAGAGCTTCAAGTCCAGTAAGCCAAATTAATATGGGATCAAGCAGTGGTGACAGAAGGCGTTCAAGCGTATACACAACTAGTTCAGGAGAGTAAGTTGCTCCTTGTTATTTCGTAATAGAGTAGCTCGAAAGTAGCTTTCATGGAAACCGCGTTGTGGGAACAAACTATGTTCCTAGCCAAATGATTAAGCTACACTGGAGGAAGTGAGACCTAAAAAATCAACACTTATCAACAGGAGAAGTTTACCGCACCAAAAATTAAAAAAAAAATCGGTGCGTTTCCATTTTTAAATATTGAAAAGCATTATCAAAAAAAAAAACAGGTTCCTGAGAAAATTAACACGTAAAAATATTTTTTTATCACATCATGAAAAAAAATTAAACCTCAGCAAAACCGAAAGGTCAATGTTTTGTGGTTTATTGAGTCCATCTTTATGCTATGGTGACTTACAAAAAATGTTTTTGCACGTGAATTTTCTTCAGAAAATTATAAAAAAATGTGATTTGCCTAGATTTTTTAATTTTTTTCCAATATTTTTAGAAAAATCATTGAATTGGAGCGGTGAACTTCCCCTTAAATCTCGCTAAAACAAAAATGTGTTTATCAGATTTAAATGTTGTGATATGATTAAAATGGTTTGTTTAGTGATTAGTGAGTTGAAAAAAACAAGAAAATTTTGAAATATTTTACATTGATTTGCAATGTGAAAAGTGGCCAATTTTTCAACTTTCTTCTGAATATGGAGTAAGTGGGAACACATGTTTTGATGATCACATGTCATGGGATCCTTCTATGATCGATGTTCCATGAATTGTCCACCCATACAATATAATAATGTGTAGTTTACGCCATAATGTTCCTCATGTTGTTCTAGAAATTTCATTCAAACATAGTTTTCGTGTATATTTCATAGATTGAGAGATAAAAATCAGAAAAGAGGCCGTTATAGTTAAAATTCACAAGACAACAGAGCCAATAAAAGTTCAATTAGATTGACAGAACATAGTTGCATTGCTTTTCAATGACGACCGATGACTGTTTCATTGATATATGATTTTTTCATGAATCCTCAGTAGACGTGTTTTTTTTATCAAAGGCAAGTGTCACTCGATCCATTCTAAATGTTCGTTATTTTATAAATTGCTGTTATGGCTCGGGTGACTGCTACACCAAACGTGACAGAGCTACTTGTAAAGGATTCACATGGACTAATTTGGTAAGATTGTTCCTTTTTTCTACTTTTATCTACTTAAACTTAATTTCTATGCATCCGTAGCATTTGGAATCATTTGATTCGTATGAGACTCTTAACTTTTATTTGTAACATTTAAATTTACCGTTAAAAGCGATTTCGATGAAGATTTTTAGAGTGTAATGACTGCTTGTCTGTGATCATATCTTCACTATCTCAACTTCGGGTAATATAAATATCTTATGCACTTTTGATCTAACTGTAATCACTCTCTCAAACAAATGTGCCAGGACCAAATTGGCACAACGACGCCCTCCCTATACGCTCTCTGACCAAAGCGCAGGGCTATCCGGGACTTCTTGTGGTAGGTTGTAAACTCTCACGTACGGTGCCCCCCGGAGGCGACATGCGTACCTCGCAATTTCATACACCGGCGGTTTTTTACATCTAGCTGTGAAGCTGTATCTAACAGTCAGTTTTATTTCCAACGAGATTTCTATTTGTTTGCTTCCAACAAAAGCGAACAACAACAACGCACAATTACTTCACTCAATGAGCAAGCACCACAATAATAATTGCTATCGAATAACATGCAATGCGTGACCCAGATCGAAAAAACACACAGCTGCCTGTGTCGACAGCGAGGACAGCACTGGGATAAATAGCAACACAAACATTCACATTCTAGTGGAAATCAGATAAAATTCATAAAATTTTAGCCACTCAAGCCAATGATCTAACTTACACCCAAGTCTCACTTTCTCTAGTATACCTTATAGATTTACGAATAAGAAGTAATGTTTTTCCATGTTTTGTTGTTTTGAAGAACTGCAGTAACATTGGATGATGGAAAGGATGATTCAACTCAGGATAGAATATTTGAAAATATCCGTCTACATAAAGAAGTCTTGCAATCAGTCAAAATGGAACCATGGAGTATGAAACGGAAACTTAAACTCGTCAAACAAGTATGTACGTTATATAAAAAAAAAATATTTCTATATGTTTTCAAACATGAATTTAGGCTAAAAGCTACGTTGTACAGCATGAAGGTGTATTGCAAGAACACTTTACATCACGAACGGCCAAAAGTTTGTTAACTCAATTCAACATATTTCTTGCCACGGTAAATTAGATTGATATTTTTTATGGTATGATTTCTAAGTATAACTGACATAATAATTTACAGAAATGGAGACAAATACTGCGCGAAGTTACAAACCTTTCAACTTATTTGATTCCATGGGAATCCAGGATAAAGGAAATAGAATCACATTTTGGTTCTGTGGTGGCATCTTATTTTACGTTTCTTAGATGGCTGTTCTGGGTAAACATAGTCATATCGTTTTTACTAGTTCTCTTCGTAATGATGCCAGAAGAAATCTATGTCAACCCAGATCGCGTTAAGTGTGATATTAGAAAAACCATGTCCCATCAGGAGCTAGCAATATCGTCAAACTTTAGTACTATTTGGGAGTTTGAAGGAAGGTTGAAATACTCAGCATTATTCTACGGGTAATAAAATTCACCAGAACTGTATGCAAGTATTGTACTAATAACAAATGTGTATATCTTACAGCTATTATTCAACATTTTCTGGTGCAATCACATGGGGATACAACTTACCACTTGCATATTTCCTAACTGGCTTAGTAGTATACATCTACAGTTTCGTGGCAACTTTGAAAAAGTAAATTCCTATAATTAATTCAATCCTCTTTATGGAATCCCCCTACGAAAAGCATTTGAAGTGGGTTGAGTAATTTACTTTCAACTTCATTATAATAGTTTATTATCAATCTTTTAAGTTCGTCGAACCTCTTAACGGAATCCCTTTATGAATAGCTTTGAGTGTGTTGGTTTAATTCCTTTTAATTCCGTTATAATTGATTATCTTTTGAAAGATACGCGTATTTCGTCTACTACTTGCAGACAAGTACTCAACACCACTTGGCACTGATGAAGTCTGCAAATAGTAGAAGAAAAACGCGTATCTGTCAAAAGATAATCAATTATAACGGAATTAAAAGGAAATAAACCAACACACTCAAAGCTCGTTTATTATGTTTAGACTTCGTCAAATTCAAGTACTCAAAACAAAACACCTTCAGTTGTGTTTAACTTCATGGCACTGTGGAAGTTTGAGGAACTACGCATATCTGTGAAATGATGAACAATTACAACGAGTTCGAAAGATTCAACCACCTCCAAAAGTTTGTTTTTAACGTATTATAAAATCATTATTTTTATAGAATGGCGAAAAATTCTCGAATGTCTAAGCTTTCGTCAAAAGACGATGAATATGTGTTTGCTTGGAAATTATTCACTGGCTGGGATTATATGATTGGTCACACTGAAACGTCACAAAACAGAATGGCTTCTATAATTCTAGGCTTTAAAGAGGCGCTGCTTGAGGAAGCTGAGAAGAAAAAAGACACAAGAAAGTAAGTAACAAATTATACAATAAATTCGACATGATGACCAATGATATTATTTTATGTTGTAGCTGGCGAATAATATTGCTGAGAATAACCGTTAATTTCATAATACTTGGATTACTAGCAGTATCTGCGTTTGCTGTTGTACACGTTGTAAAACGATCGATGGACATAAAGGAGACCGACTCGTGGTGGACTCGAAATGAAATAACTATAGCAATGTCATTGATAACTTTCTTTTTTCCCATGATTTTTGAAGCACTGGGATTACTGGAATACTATCACCCACGAAAACAGCTAAGGATACAACTGGCACGGATTATGGTTTTAAACCTGCTTAATTTGTATTCGCTCATTTTTGCTTTATTCGACAAGATTAGTCATATGACCGAAGAATTGCGAAGAATGAAGCCATCGGATATTACAAGCGATGGCCAATGCTTGAATTTGGATAAAAACCAAACATATAACAATTATAGCATATTGGCAATGGCTTTTTATACAGATCATATTTTGAAACCGATGTCACTTTCCTTGTCACAAGATTCTTCAGATACGTCGAACAATTGTTATAAATTTTTTATTAAATGTCCTACACAGACCACCATCAACGCAGCTATTTTTACAATGTTATTTGCAAATATATCGAGTTTAATGCATCCATCATCCGATGCTCCCAACATTGATCTATTGGATTCGAACTTTATAACGCCCCCGTATGTTACGAGCGATGACATCAACTCTAGTGTAATTACTGAGAGTAGTACATCGACATACAGTTATGACGAGTACAGCCATAATATAGCTGATGAGGAATTTGATTATGAAGATTATTTAGCACAAAGAATGAGAAATTTACCAAATGACCAATTCGAAGATATTCCAATCAATAAGCGAGACATTAACATAAGTTCATTATATGATCAATTTAATCTATCTATCCAATCTACAGCTCAATCAATGACTACGAATGAGTTTGTCGAGTTGGTAACACAAGTAATTCACAACGACCTAGAAACAACTGACAGTAGTGATTTTCTAACTATGACCTATACTGAACTTTACACGTATGTTACCGAAAAATACGATGAATTTCTGGAATCATACTATTACTCAGATGAAGATGACAATAAAGAAGAAAATATGTGTTATCAATGGGTTTGCAAAAATACTACCGAACCAACAAGCGAATTTCCCCCAAGCAGTGTACTGCTCGAAGATGCCAACACGCATGATTATTCAACCGAAGACGTAACGCAAGCCACACAGACCACCGTAACAGCGGATAAGGAACTTAAGAGTCCTAGAGAAACCAAATTCAAAAATGCAGATATACGGACTTTATGCTGGGAAACTATGTTCGGCCAAGAACTAGCCAAGCTAACAATCATGGATTTGGTGAGTATGTATTCCGCGAATTAGAAGTACTAAACGATCTTCAACCTGGTCTTATCGTTTGTTAAACTATGTGGCTTTGATGACGTTAAGGGACCAATTCTATAACCAATTTTAAAAAGCCAATATTTGCCATCAATATAATGCTGTTATTAACTCTTCAAGCACCACACTAAAAATAAGTTGCCGCTTTTCCCAAACTGATGTATCTCGGATTCTACTTATGCGTTTCCTAATGTTTTTATACCATTGCTCAACTTTTTTTTCAATATATTGATAAAACTACCATCATATTCGATATTTTTTATCATTCAGGGAAAACTTTGAAAGCAGAAATCAATCAGTCAGACTTGTCAGAACGGCATGTCTACCGATTCCGCATAAATTGAATTTAAAAAAGAAAATGGATTACGATCGTACCCACCACCATGTGATATAACCTTAAAAAGTAGACTTAAAAAATAGTGAAAAATATGATGTAGGATTTGTGCTCGAAGAGGTAACCCGAATTAAAAATATTGTTAAATACTATAAAGCTTACTATTGCAATTATACAGATAATAATGGAACAAGAGATGAACTTCGGCTAAAAATCTCTAAAATAAAGATTTAAAAAAAGATAACAATGAAATGCTCATACATTTTACTGTTTAACTGTCTAACTCAAATAAAATAAAACATATGGTTATCGACCATAAAATTTATGGTAAAGTGGATTTTTACAATAAATTCAATGGATTGTTAGGAATCTTCACTATACAAAAACAATATTCGTTCTATTGTACATTTTTTGTACTGGAGAAATATTTCAGCGATTTATTCCAAACCTAAAAATAATCAGAGCTGGGAGAAAATACTATACTAATATCAATAGGAAGCTTTAGTGCAATAATTTATTAGCTAGAGAGAGTTCGAAGAGGACCCTCTTTATTGAGGAGTTTTATTGTATTGAAACATAGCCATTAATCTTATTGTTTATTTATTTTATAAGTTAAGTTTCTTATTCGCTTCAACAAATTATTTGTATAGGTGTAGAGTGTGGTGGGAATTCCATAAGTCATAATTGGAACACACTATAATATGAATTTATATAACTGGTACTCTAAAACAGGGTTACTTCCACTCACTTGATGTTTTTCGAAATTATGAAATCATGAAATAGTATATTGCTAATTAGTACTTGTAAGTTACAAGAAGAGGTCATGAAGCTTATGTTTGACACATAAAATCTACTAATATTGCTTTCAGTGCGTCACAATCAGCGATTTTACGACTCGTGAGCGCTCACTCAGAGTGAACGCTCACGAATCATAAGATCGCTGATTGTGACGCTCTGAAAGCGAAATTGACACATACTTTACACCCTCTTCCTGTTACTTAAAAGTACAACATACCATTAAAACATCTAATGATTGCATAATTCCGAAAAATATTTTTTTTATAGCAAGTGAGTGGAAGCAACCCTGCTCTAAAATGAATCGACGTTACACCGTTTTCAAAAGTTTCACAGTATTATAAATGTCAATTAAATTGATTGTTAACCATAGGGTTTATACTACGCTTACAATTTAACAATGCATTTTGATATAGCCGGTAACTAAATGACTAAATAAACAATTTTCTGGTTTTCTGCATAAAAAATAAAACGCCCTAACTTTTTTTTTTTACTATCGACACCTGTTGCGAAAATCAATGCGTTGAATTCCGGGCACAAATTTCATCAAAGAGAAAGAAAGTTCTACACGGTAAGAAAAAAGTACCCAAGTTCACTTTTACCTACTTTTGACTAGTTTGTTTCCTTTTTTTCTTCTAATGTTGTCAAAAACCGAGGAGCAAAACCACCCAACAGTATAATCATATTTACCTACGTTAAGTATAATCATATTTACCTACTTTCGGGTACTACTAACTTGGCACTTGGCACTGATGAAGACTGCAAGTAGTAGACGAAATATGCGTTATAAGCAATTATAACGGAATTTAAAGGAAATAAACCAGCACACTCAAAGCTCTTCATACTTTGATCCACTTTACCTTCTTTTGGGTAGATGAGTGAAAAGAACTTACTTTTGGGTACTTTTTTCTTACCGTGTACATATTGGGTATGTATGCCTGGATTCAGCTGCTGGTCATTCTACGTTCAACGAAGAAAATCGAAGCAAAGTGAAAACGAACGAAATCAGTGTGGCTCGTACAAGCCGCTGCTCGTTTCTGATATTGTATGCGTGTGAGCGAGTAGTAAAAGAAAAATGAAACGATTTTTCCCATGCTTGGTCCTATCTAGAAGAAAACATCAAACGTATCAATGAATTCACCGTGAACAAATCAAATCGATAAATAAATAAATCATAGGCGGGCATAGGATCTACTCCTAGCTAGATTTTCCAGTAAATCTTTAGATCTTCCAGTAAATCTTTAGATTTTGTTGTGAGAAGAGCTCGGTTAATTCTATTGTTTTGTTTTTCAATTTCAGCTAGTGACTATTTTTTCTACGATGACGCTTGATTTCATAAGGGCGTTATTCGTTCGGTATATGAATAATATTTGGTGTTGGGATCTGGAAAAAGTGTTTCCAAAGGTACCGTACCATTTCTATCATAACGACTCATATTTTAAAATTGTACATTTCAGTATGGAGATTTCAAGATAGCAGAAAACATACTACATCTAGTCAACAACCAAGGAATGGTATGGATGGGCATGTTCTTTTCTCCAGGCCTTGCGGTGATCAATATTTTCAAGCTTATCATCATTATGTATCTCCGATCATGGACAGTTCTTACTTGCAATGTGCCACATGAAGTAGTATTTCGGTAACAAATTCTAACTCAATGATGATCTACAATATGCTTCTAATTTGTTTTATTTACAGAGCATCGCGATCGAACAATTTTTATTTTGCACTGCTGTTGACTATGTTGTTTCTTTGTGTGCTTCCTGTAAGTTACGCGATAGTTTTCTTAGAGCCATCCTGGCATTGTGGGCCATTCTCACAATCCAACCGAATTTATCATCTTCTCACAAATGCCACAGAAAATATTATTCCTGATGCTATTACTAAATACATTGTATCCCCGGCAGCAATCATACCATTGTTGTTACTGTTAATTCTAATTATTTACTATCTCATATCGTTAACTGGATCACTGAGAGAAGCAAATCAAGACTTGAAGATACAGTTACGGAAAGAGAGAACCGAAGAAAGACGAAAAATGTTCAAAATGGCAACGAATCAACATTGTCAGCAAAATGAAGGCATAAATGGACTGTCAGATTCATGGCATAAAGTGTTGGACTCTACACAACAAAGAATCCATTCAATTTCTGGTGATGATAATTATAGTGACACTGCCGGAAGCAAAAATCGCCAACTGCTGCAGAGAATGATGAAAAAAGCTCTAGTTAAACAACAAACAGTAACAGAACCCTGTAAAGCCAACAAGGATTCATCTAATCTTAATGATAGGCTCATTTCAGAAGATACAATCATTGTACCATTTGCTACCGAGTGTGCACAGGATAACAGAAGAACAAATAAGAACAAGCCTAATCAAAATGATAATGCACCTTTACCTCGTATATCATTTAAAACAATTAGCGAACAGAAGACCTCAAAATGGGTAGAAAAAATTCCTGTCATCACAATTAGCAAAACTTCTAGCGATGAATGTGTTATTGATTCAGATGTAGAAGATTGTGATGAAATAGGAACAGCCTTACAGTGAACACCAAAAATTGTTCTACAGTGAAGTGTAAAAAAAAACTTCAACGTTTTTTCAGACAATTTTTAAAAATCAGAGCATTAATCTGTCAGTCGAAATAAAATTGGTCACACGAACAACTTCAAACACAACCACACAAGTTTTATGCAAAACAATTTTGCAGTGAAATATATATCATCTGAAAATAAATAGTATCATTTTTAATGACAATGTTTCTGAGTCATTCACCGATGGATCAAGCGTAATGGATGGATGGTTAAATTGAATGCAACGCACCTAGTTTTTGATTTCATTGCAAATTATAAAGTGTATTTTAAACTAACACATATATTGATGTTTCAACTATGCGTAGCATATTATTTTTATCTGATGATGTTGTAATTTTTACCATGTTCTTAAAATTATTATTTCAACCTCTATTATTATATGCAATTTATTGGACCTCCATGTGATGTACTATGTTTATTCTAGTTTCAATTTATTCTAATAGAAAACAAGAAACATACCACTTAATTTTAATAAGTTTTACAGAATAAGCAAGGAAAAATGTTGGTACACAAACAGATTTAGCTACGTCTTAATAAGTAACTATAACCACCCATATCTTACAATAGTTGCACTTTTCTGACTGCTGATCTTATTTATTTATATATTTTTTATGATTTACCAACAACTGTTCACAATAAACAAACTCTTTATCTATCTAACATTACAATTTCATAAAACAAAATGCACAAATTAAAATCATCGACATTGTAACTGCACGATTACAGATTGCATTTGTTAACTCACACGTATATCCTCAGTAGCATACTTGGCACAAATCGGTTATAGAAATAAATATATAAATGTGCTACTTGAAATGTCTAGGATAAGCAAATATTATGTCCAGGGTAAATAAGTAGGATAATAAAGTAGTATGTACATCGAAATGCTAACTACCTACATATATTTTTATCTAGTTGGAAGGCTCAATCGCGTTAGCTTTACGGAGCCGATAATTTATGGTTCTTTGTTTTTACCAAAATTCACTTAATTCTATGCCTAGCAGGAGTTGGGCCGAATACTCGCGGCTTACCCGAGGTTAAAGGAGTACATTGTCAAAGATAGGATCAGGGGAGGAATTTGGGGGTGGGGTTTCGTTGTCTCATCAGAGTGTTGTCGCCAGTATGAAAGGTAGTGCGGTTCTAGAATCGTTTGGAGTTCGACCGGCTATGCTGACCAGTAGGCGACGATGAGACTCATCGAGAGGAGGAGACAAGACAAACAAAAACTAAAAAAGAGTAACCTACATATTCTTCTGTCTTTCTTTTAACATTTTAAATCAATCCCAGATGGTTTAAAGCTTTTGTGTAAATTTTAGACCCAACAGTCCGTGTATTTTGCAAATCAAACATTGGCTAAACAGTGGAGTGAACAGTGTTCGGAAAAAAAAACTCCAAAACTCAAATCTTATGCGTGAGAATATTTGCCTATGAGTTTTGCTTTGTTTTTCAGCTACGCAAAAATCACCGGTGAATTTATCAGTTTAAAAAATACTTTCTTTATATTTTGACGTTATTCATTGTTGGAAAACTGACAAAAAATTCATCTCCATGCCACCAATTGAGGTTTGACCGAATTTTATGAGTTTAAAGATGGAATGATTTTTTTGGCGTTGTGAGTGTGAATGCGTGAAAATACATGAGAACTTAAATCGTGAGATTTGTTTTCAAATTCGTTGGTGAGTTTACTTGCTCAGGAGTTCTCAATGAATTAGATTTGAAAATGATTTCCCAAACACTGCGAGTAAACGAGAAAAGCTATCACAATATAACAATATGACAGAAAAAAACAATTTGTTTACAATTAGTATGACATACTCCAATAAATTAATTTTAAATGTATGTGTATTCTGAGTGAGCTGCTTGGTTAAAATAAATTATTATTATAGAACTAAGTTTACTAAAATAATATATAAAACCAGCATTTGAGTAAAATCACAACACGAATACGCACTCCGGAGAACTGACCGCCTGGTTTATCGACAGCCCCCATTATCAAGTGAATATTCACAATATAAATGCTGTTTTATTATTAAATATATAGGTGTGAATAATTAAAACAACACACTTACTTAATTAATCAGAAATTATTGATGACTGAATATAATAAGAAGAATATCCCAATGACACAACAATAATCTGGCAGCACATTTCCCTTTCTATGAGAGATCGAAAAATAAGTCTTATATACGATCGATTCTCTAAAGAACTGTCCCAACACAACTCACAAACACATCGGTATTGTCATGCGCACATGTTTTTTCTGTAAAATATGTTGTACATGATCATATGATCATAGTCCAACTGTGTGGTGCATACCGCGCTGGATTTATTCAAATGAATGTGTAGGTTAATCTCTCTGTTGTATATTGTCTGTGTGTTAAGATTTACAGAGTAAGGCGGAAAATGACGAGAACTCAAGAGAGCATACATCTGAAAACAACATTCAGTTGCACTTAAGATTTCGTACAGTATTGAGGCTTGGGAGTAGAAGAAAAGTATGTTGCTGTGCATGGAGTGCTCCATCTTAGTTCTAAAATAGATTGAAAGTGAATATTTTACCAAGATACGGAGAGTAGTGTGTTTAATGCTGCCGGAATCAATTGACACTATAGATTGAAATCGTGTCGAAAATGCCATAATTGATTGAAAATTAACATGCCGGAACAAAATGTGGAATTTAAAACCATGCTACAGAAAATCATTCATTAAAATAGTCGCCTTAACGTGAACCTTACATTATCTCGCTTCGAGATAACGTGCTTCATTATTCTGCTCGGTTCTTGGTTCTAATATGTGACGAAATTTACGATTGCTCTACTCCGCTCTAGAGGAGAAGCTAACTTCATTGTGAATTATAATTGTAAAATAGCATAAAAGTGATGACGCAATCCAAAACTAAACAACTCTTATTCAAGCCGACAATCTATGATATCATTGCTTATTTCAAGTTTCATATAGTTTGTTTTAATTACCAGATGTGCTGAGCAACACAAAAAGTTGAAAATTGAGGAATATAACACGATGGAATACATGAGCAAAGTCAGCATACAAATGTTTATTTTAGTCCGTTTCTCCATGTCTGATCAGTCTGATTTATAGTGTTGGTGTAGAAAATTCACGTTCAACTCCACCCAGTTTAAAGAGAAATTCGAATATTGAATAAAGAGATGAACTAGCCTACGGCTAAAAATCTCTAAAATAAAGAATTAAAAAAAAAGAATATTGAATATTGAAACTTAAATTTCAGGCTATTATTCAAACATTCGGTGTTAATAAAATGCAACTTTTTGTTGAGGGTACAAATTAGCGCAGCAGGCAGAACTGAATAAATCCAATGATCTGATTCTATCAAGAAAAGCTGTTCGAGAAAATTTAACGTGATGAAGATGACAAACCGCATGCCAAAGACAACCATTTACTACTTATTAGTACTGGCAATTTTAAGGACATCCGTCATTACGGCTGGAGAAAATACACACTATCTACCGCCGTTGGAATGTTACGATCCCTACGGGAGGCCACAGGTAAGTTAATTTATTACCACTGTCAATTGGTTATTATTAAATGAATTTTGAGATCATTAGACAATTAAAAGTTACAAACCTGCGGTAAACAATCGAAATATAATCATGAGATTTTGCTATGAGAATTAAAATATATTAAAAAATATGACATTTGTGAATGTAAAAGATTGGAACAAGATTGCAAAAAGTAAGAATGACGGTTGAAAAATACTTATTTCCACTGTTTCAATCACTTGCTATTACACTGCCGCACAATATAGTTTAAAAGAAAGCAATGGTTATACAAAGTACTCAGAATTAATGTATTATAGGGTAGATATACTAGTCCTGGCTATATGTTCCTATTATGGTGTGTTCCACTAATAGCATATCGGATTTCTATAGGTCATAATTGGAACACACCATAATAGGAACGTATAGCCATAACTGGTATACCTACCCTACTCCGGAAGCAAAATATCAGCTATTTCGTACGTTACAATTTTGATAAGGAGGCGACAAGTTACACACAGCGGCTTAGTGATACAATGAGACGGCATACACATTTTTTAATTTAGACCCAAGTGATTACGATGGCATGCAAATGAATATAATAATTGTCATCTTCATCGTTTCAGCGCTGTATACCCGAGTTTGAGAATGCTGCATATCAGGTTGAAATTGAAGCTACAAACACTTGCGGTGAGGATGGAGTAACAAATTTCTGTGTCCAGACTGGATATTCTAATCGAAAAAGTTGCGATGATTGCCGGGAAAACCAACATGCACCACATTTTTTGACCGATCTACATGATCCAACCAATCCAACGTGGTGGCAATCGGAAACTATGTTTGAAGGAATCCAATATCCCAATCAAGTCAATCTTACGCTGAAGCTCGGAAAATCGTTTGATATCACGTACATTCGCATTGTGTTCTACTCCCCACGTCCTGAATCATTCGCAATTTACAAACGAGTAACACCAAATGGCCCTTGGACTCCGTATCAATACTACAGTGCCACTTGCCGTGATACCTATGGTCTGCCGGACTCTCTTTCTGTAATGAAGGGTGAAGATGAATCTCGTGCACTGTGTACTAGCGAATATAGTGATATTTCTCCTTTACGAGATGGAAACATAGCTTTCTCGTCACTGGAAGGAAGACCAAGTGCAATAAACTTTGAGCACAGTCTCGAATTACAGGTAAGTTACAAGTATGTCTCCTCAATGACCGCATACATTATCACTCAGTCACTCTTCTCAGCAATGGGTCACATCAACTGACATCCGAATAACATTAGATCGCTTGAACACCTTCGGAGATGAAGTATTCGGCGACGCGCAAGTTCTAAAGTCATATTTTTACGCTATAGCCGATATTGCAGTAGGCGCTAGATGTAAATGCAATGGTCATGCCAGTGAGTGTATCACAAGTACTAGTTCCAGTGGACAGCGAGGACGTGTATGCAAATGTCAACACTATACCGATGGACCAGATTGTGACAAATGCTTGCCTTTTTACAATGACGCTCCGTGGGGACGAGCCACATCGAAGAACGTTCACGAGTGCAAACGTAAGTAACAACTAACCGTAAAGTACGCACGAGTTTATGTTTTCTGCGATGAAAGACATCTTAGCGTTTATCGAAACATGAACCTGAAATGTCAGTTTCCATTTAAGAAAACTTGTCACCAGTGATAGTATGTCCAAATGTAGCGTTTTCTTCTATCCTTTTCAACGCTTTTCTCATCATTACTGTTGCTGGTCATTTCTCTTTGCTTAGTCTTGACGCCAAGTCGAATATCTATCGATCACTCCAAACCAATATGGATAATATTATAGTATTTTGTATAATACTATCACTGCTGTGCAATGAAACAGAGTCTTACTATCAGTCTTATAAGAACAAGAAAAATATTTTGTCCGTACCGTGGTATTTCATAAACTGTACAACATTGTATTTCAATTCGCATGCCTACAAATAACCATATATTATCCATTTCAGCATGTAACTGTAATGGTTATTCAACCAAATGTTTCTTCGACCGTCAACTATACAATCTAACTGGTCATGGAGGTCATTGTATTGACTGTGGTGCTAACCGTGATGGACCAAATTGTGAGCGTTGCAAAGAAAACTTTTATATGCGTGAAGATGGCTACTGCATTAACTGCGGCTGTGATGCAACCGGTTCTAGGTCGTTACAATGTAATGCTGAAGGAAAATGCCAATGTAAACCTGGAGTGACAGGAGAAAAGTGCGACCGTTGTGAAAACAACTTTTATAATTTTGGGCCCCATGGATGTCAACCATGTAATTGTGACGTAAGAGGTTCTTACGATAATGCACCATCCTGCGACCCGGTTAACGGTATTTGTCTTTGCAAAGAAAATGTAGAAGGTCGTCACTGTCGCGAATGCCGTCCGGGATATTTCAATTTAGATTTGGAAAACAAATTTGGATGTACTCCGTGCTTCTGTTACGGGCATACCAGCGAGTGTACAAGTGCTACAGGCTACTCTATAGTATCGACAACGTCCAACTTTAATAAACACAAGGAAAAGTGGACGGCTGCCACTAGCAGTGGAACTACTGTAGATATTAAATACAATTCCAAAGGTCAAACTATTGGAGTCAGTGCTCAAGGATACGAACCAATATACTTTTTAGCTCCAGATCGATTCCTCGGAGATCAAAGAGCTTCATACAATAGGATTTTAAAGTTCCGCCTACAACTCGTCGGACAACCAAGACCAGATATAAGTACTTTTGATGTTATACTACAAGGATCAAACAGCAGTATTTCGCTGCCAATTTTTGCACAAGACCAACAAATGCCTGATGATGAGCTAAAAGAATTTTCATTCAGACTACATGAACATCCTGAATATTCATGGCAACCATCAATGTCCGCAAGAGGTTTCATGTCTATTTTGAGTAACCTAACAGCCATTAAAATAAGAGCTATTTATTCTGACTATGGTGAAGCATTTTTGGACGATGTTGAATTGCAAACCGCCCACCGAGGAGCGGCTGGTCGTCCGGCAACATGGATTGAACAGTGCACATGTCCTGAAGGGTATTTGGGACAATTTTGTGAATCTTGTGCACCAGGCTATAGACACAACCCAGCATTGGGAGGACCATTCATGCCTTGTATTCCGTGCGATTGTAATAAGCATGCTGAAATATGTGATTCTGAAACCGGACGTTGTATTTGTCAACACAACACTGCAGGCGATACATGTGATCAATGTGCAAAGGGATATTATGGAAACGCATTAGGAGGAACACCATATGATTGCAAACGTTGTCCCTGTCCAAATAACGGAGCCTGTATGCAAATGGCAGATGACTCCGTAATATGTTTGGAATGTCCTGTTGGATACTTTGGTAGGTATCACGGTGTCACTGGCTGAGCAACATTGTTAAAAAAAATCCATCATACGACGCCATGCTATAAAGTGATTTTCGTGATACAAGAACAATGCTAGATAGAGCTGGAATTATGGCGTAACAGCTTTTGTAAACAATGACTTCTTTCGAAGTTTTCTAGGAAGTAATTCCCTACCCAATGGGTATGTTGATTTGCGTAGACGAGCCTTGACTGTCTAGAAATCATCAAGAGAAGTCATTGTTTACAAAAGCTGTTACGCCCTAATTCCAGCTCTTTCTAAAATTGTGTTAAATTGGTCTTATGTCACGAGAACCTTTTATAGTATGTTACAACTCCCTAATCTAAACACAATATCAGAGACTAATTTCACAAGGCATCGCAACAAATTATCCAACGCGATTTTACACTAAAATAAAGGAAAAATAAAATTGCACCCTCCGATAGAACAATTAGATACTAGCCTCATATCGTAGACAAAAAGGCGAAAACATAATGACGGTGCAAGAGAAGAACTTAACCTTCCGGAACCGTTTAAGTAAACTTATTTCTAATTATAGTTTGCTATTTGGGAGGTTGAAAAAAAAACCGAAGTGACTTAAGTTTGCTCCTCAGGTCCAACCGCTCCACATAAAAAACAAATGAAAGTAGCTTTCATGTACAATTAGTTTCATCAAAATCGGATAAGAATTGGATTTTTACAGCCAAAATAATAGGTGATAATGTGCGCTGGAGGGTTAAATAATGTTTGCTGTCAGAGACACCGTGGGTATACATTGCTTTAGCCTGAATGAAAATTACTTTAACAAGTTCACTATATTTTTAGGGCCCCGATGCGAACTTTGCTCCGATGGTTATTACGGAGATCCCACCGGTGTGTATGGTGCCATTCGAATGTGTCAACCGTGCGATTGCAATGGAAATGTTGATCCTAACGCAGTCGGCAATTGTAACCGCACTACTGGCGAGTGTTTGAAGTGTATTCATAATACAGCGGGTGTTCACTGCGACCAATGCCTTCCAGGTGCGTAATAATAACGCTGTCAATATTGAAGTCAAAAGATAAGATAAGTCTTTCTGGTTTATGCGATCAAATTACAAAAATGTCACCAGTTGTGTCGTTCATTTATTATTTTTCCATTTGTACATTCGCTTTTGCAAACTGCGAATTCCTTTTTTGCTCCGGTTAATTAGTTTAAATTTTTTTATATTTAAATAATATTAATTATTTTTATTTTGAAGGCCATTTCGGAGATCCCCTAGCCCTACCCCATGGAAATTGTGAACAGTGCAGTTGCTACCCAAGAGGAACCGAGCAAACCGACAAGGGAATTTCCATTTGTGATCCCAACAATGGTAGTAGTCCATATATCCATTTCCGAATTCAGAAATAATAATAAACTAATTTTAGGAAACTGTCAGTGCAAACCCAACGTCATCGGTCGAACCTGTAACGAGTGCAAGAATGGCTACTGGAACATAATTTCTGGAAATGGCTGTGAAAATTGCAATTGTGATCCAACTGGAAGTTTTAACTCGTCCTGTGATACGTACACGGGTGAATGTTACTGTAAGCCAGGTGTTGTCGGTAAAAAGTGCGATAAATGTGCCGTTGCGCATTATGGATTTTCACCAGATGGTTGCAACTCTTGTGAATGCGATCCAAGTGGATCTAAGGGATCACAATGTGACCAATACGGACAGTGCCCATGCAATGATAATGTTGAAGGAAGACGCTGTGATCGATGCAAAGAAAATAAATATGATCGCCATCAAGGTTGTCTTGATTGTCCCGCGTGTTATAATTTAGTGCAGGAAGTTGCAAATGAACATCGCGTCAAGTTGGCAAATCTGAATAAAATTTTGCAAGACATCCAATCGAAACCGATCGTCATAGATGACAACGAATTTGTTTCAAAACTTAGAGCAGTACAGGATAAAATTGATATCTTAGTAGAAGACGCAAAAAGTGGATCCGGAGGTGGAGAAAAAACGCTCAATGAGATGTTACAAGATTTAGAAAAAAGGTTGGAAGCCGTACAAGATTTGCTAAATAAGGCCGATCAGTCTCAAAAGACCACCGATTTTAAAATAAATAAGGGGACTAGTAACGCCACAATAGCCAATAACCAGATCCAAGAAGCTCGGCGTGAGCTCGAAAATGCTATTGATTTGTTACAAACAGATGGGAATGCCGCACTTACCAGGGCACGAGATATATCCGGGCGCCTCGGAAATCAAACTAATCAAATAAGTGGAATTTCTCGAGAAGCACGCCAATACGCAGACCAATTCAAAAAAGAGGCCGATGAAAACAAAAAGCAAGCTGAAGAGGCTGTTGAAAAGGCTACCAAAGCACATAATATGGCCAAAAACACCATCAATTTACAAGCCAACATAAGCGAAGAATTCCGAACAAACATTTCAGGCGAAGTCCAACAGGCTAAAGATAAGTTAAATACTGTTTCAAAGTTAACAGAACAGGCTTTAACCAAAGCAAATGAAGTTTACGATGACGCACTTTCACTTTTCGTAACTGTGAACAGTTTGTCTCCACCTAGCATTGATATTGACCACATTAAAAAAGAATCTAATAAATACAACAAGGAAGCGGACAAAATCAATGAAGACTTGGATAAAACTATCGAAGATCACAGCACTCTGCTCACCGATGTAAACGAAAATATAGAACTGGCTAATACACTTCTTGAAAGGTAAGTGAAAAATATTGATTGAAATAAGATAAATTATACATAACCATATTTCCAGGGCTGAATCTCAGAAGGACGATGCCATTAGGGCTGTTGAGGAGCTAGAATATGCAAGAGAATTGGCTGAAAAGGCAGTAGCCGAAGGGGATGGGACATTAAAAAAAGCAAACTTTACTTATCACACTTTATCGGGTTTCAAAAATCAAGTTGAAGAATCCAAACAAAAAGCTGCGGATGCTCTTGAATCTGTTCCGAGTATCAAGCGACAAATTGAAAATGTCATTGAATTAATCGCTAACTCAGAAGCTGTAAGTCAAATAAACAATTATACATATCTAAACCCTTACTGATAAAACACATTTCAGGCACTGAGGAGCGCTAATCATAATGCAGCCGAAGCTCGTAATAATGCGCAAACGGCACAGAAAAAATATGCTGAAGAAGCATCAAAGGTGAGATTATTTTTTCTCTATCTTGCATGATACCATTATCAATATTGCTAATATATCTAGCATTCAGAATCACAAGGGCCTAACTGCGATGATCGATTTCTCTTTGAAGTGATTACTACAGTTAAGTGATCCATTTTCAGAATTTGTTTCCAATACAGTTCTGTAAAAGGTTCTATTAGCTTACACAAGAAAATGCAACGTGGAAGAAAATATAAAAACGACGAAGAGAATCGATAATTGCACTTAAGATATTTGACAGTTTTGACAACTATAAGATATAAAAAGACAAATCCTCAATACCCTTTTTATTTAGCTCGCCGACAACATAAAAAAAAGAGCCAACGCAACTAAAAATACTGCTCGTGATTTGAGACACGAAGCTGATCAACTGAACGGTAGATTGGCTAAAACAGAAAATAGTTTGTCCGAACGAGAAACGAACATTCGAAAGGATTTCAACCTTACCAAGGAAGCTAAGGAAAAGGTTGGTCAAGCACAACTCAATTCAAACGAAGCAAAATCGCAAGTTGAAAAAGCTATGAAGGACATTAAAGCTATAATTGATGAGTTAGCTGATTTACGAGATATCGACATCAAGAGTCTGGACGCACTAGGTAAATACAGCATCAATAGCGATCATAAGAGAATAAATAATGATTTTTTTTGCAATATTTTTTTTTAAATTATAGATGAACGTCTGTCGGCTGCTGAGAAGGAATTAGATGACGCGCAGCTAACGAATAAGCTACATGTTCTAAATGAATCTAAAAATCTCCAAACACAGAACATTAAAAGTTATCAACGTGAACTAGCCGAACTGGAAAGTGAAGTAACAAACATTAAGATGATAGCAGATTCTCTTCCAGAAAACTGTTACAAAAGGACACGCCTTGAACCATAAATCTTGAGCCAACAGAATTTAAATTTATGGAACCAATTATACATAAGCTCTTATATTCATCTGAAAATTCCGCATCCTCAACGGTATAGACGATGCTCTGAAATTAGCAGTCTACATGTTAAACACACCTCGAAATCCCTATGACTATGTTAAGAAAAATCATTCATGTTCATATCTGATAGACAATGTGCCAATTATGAACAATATTATTTAAGTCATACATTTTAGGATACACAATCGAGCTTGAAGTAAAGCTCAACTACACTTGTTCAATTGACATTTCTTAATCTGGAGTCAAAAAGCTTTAGGTTTTCCCAAGATTATGTTTTAAAACTGCATTAATCGAATTTGAACACAATCGGTACGCTAATCCATTCTGTTACTTAATAGGTGAAATTCAAAATTAAACAGTAAAATTATAAATATAACATAAACTAGAAACAACCTAAAAACAAAATGTGCCTTACAATAACATCAAACTGTCTTTTATGTCAAAAGTCTTCGAAATTCTGGGATAGCAAAGCACAGTTTAAAAATAATAAGAATCGGCTTTTACCCTTCTTACATTTGTTTAATTTTGAAAAAAGGATTCACAATCTTATAGGCCATCCTCCATAACCCAAAAATAACAGTCTGTTCAAAAAAAATATCGCTCTAACTTTAGTTCTAGTTGTCCAAACGGTATACAATTTAATATGTGGCTTAGCGTGATTCACCGTTAAATGGAAAAAGTCAAAATCTGGAATTTCAAGCGCTATCCCTAGAATGGTAGTTGGGGGCCAAAATTTGAAGTTATTTGGTTCACGGAAACCCCTCGCTCAAACGGCTTAAAGTTTGTATGGGGAAAATCGACAAAATGTATGGGGGAGCGAGCCACTTTCACATTCGGGGCTCTAGGTGGCGCTGTAGTTGGTTGATTTTCTTCATGTACAAAATGTACAACCTTTAAAGTATTGGAAACGTCTTGGTTCAAGACCGGATGTGAATCCGAGTTAACTCCGAAAAGTTATTAGCGTTTGAAATGAACACCACCTGCCTTACTTTTGGGGAGGGCCTAACGCACTTTGTGCGGTTTTTATTTTTACGAACAGGCATACGAATAGCATTGTTTGCATGGGTATAACTTTTTTGTTTCACCATAAAATTCACAGTAAGTGAAAAAATGTTCGAAATTATGGTCTACTGGAAATTGGATTACAGATTGGCCAAGTGGTTCTAGTTTTATTCCCGGTTTCCGAGAGCCCATCGGGATGGAGAAAAGGTACCAGCCGTCTAGAACAAGGGGATGCTGGAAATCCACAGCAACAGGCATCTATGGGTAGTGCTGATTAATATTTCAACAAAACCAACCCACAACCTGGTTCGAAATAGTGAGTGTCCACCGGAAGGCCATTTGGTGACTCGAATTAACCTTAATCTTGATTGTTATATATTTTTGATCAAAGTTTGCCTTGATTCTTCTCTGCAACTGGTAAAATAGTGATTTTTTTTATATAATTGGCTGTTCATTGGCTAAGAGTGGTCATCAGATGACCCGCCGAAAGATTCGGAACATCTATATGAATTTAAAATTTATCGCTGTGTAAATTTGATTAAAGTAGGCCTTGCTTTTTTCTGCATTTATATGCAATGTGGGAAAATGGTGTTTACTGATATGTTAGCTGGTCATTGGCTCCGAAAGGTACCAGATGACTTACCGGAAGATCTGAAACATCCGTAAAATTGATTGCTGCGTAAATTTGTTCAAAATAGGCCTTGATTTTTTTCTGCAACTATATCGAATGTATAATTGTTGTGTTATTTTATATATTAGCTGACATTGACCCCATATGGTACCAGATAGTCCACCGGAAGCACCGAAACATCCGAAAAATTTATTGCTTCGTACATTTGATCAAAGTAGGCAATGATTTTTATCTGCAATAATGTAGAAATGTAGAAAAATTGTGAATTTTGATATATTAACTGGTCATTGGATCTAAGTGGTGATCATATGGCCCGCCGTAAGTTCGGGAACATTCGTAAAATTGCGGCGTAATTGCTTCGTTAATTTGATCAAAGTAGGCCTTTATTTTTATCTGCAACTATATGGGATGTAGTAAAATAGTGAATTTTGATAATTAGCCCACAAGCAGACATAACGCATTGTGTACTTTTCACTGTAAAACATCGTCACTAAAACACTACCGCCATCTGTTGAATACACTGTAATGGGTACTACGCTGAACAGATGGTGGTAGTATGTAAACGTCAAACGCAAGGAAATTGACTATGCGCGTCACAGCCGGTGACACTACCAACTAACAAACATTTAAATTGACTGTGTTCGATGAAAAACATGCAAGATTTATGTCTGTTAGTCTGTGATTAGCCAGTCATTGGTGTAATGAGGCCACCAGATGGTCCGACGGAATATCTGGAACATCCGTAAGGGATGGTCCATTAATTATGTCACGCAAATTTGGTCCATTTTCAACCCCCCCTCCCCCCTTTGTCACATTTTTTGTATGAACCTTAATTTTTTTTTTGTATGGCTCGTCACAGTTTTCAAAACCCCCCTAAATGTGTGACATAATTAATGGACGACCTCTAAAATGTATTGCTTCGTAAATTTGATTAAAGTAGGCCTTGATTTTTCTCTGCATTTATATGCAATGTGGAAACATATAAGCTGATCATTGGCTCCGAGTGGTCACCAGATGATCTGCCGGAAGATTATTGTGTAAATTTGATCAAAGTATGCCTTGATTTTTGTCTGCAACTATATGAAATGGTGATTTTTAATGTCAGGTGGTCATTCTTCGTGAATTTTATCATTTTTATCTGAAACTATACGAAATGTAGTGAAATTGGGATTTTTGATATATTAGCTGGTCATTGGATCTAATTGGTCATCAAATGGGCTACCGGAAGATCCGAAACATCAGTAAAATTTATTGCTACGTAAATTTGATCAAAGTATGCTTAAATTTAGTCTGATACTTGTGAATTGGTGATTTTTCTATACATTATTTGGTCATTGGCTCTTAGTGGTCACCAGATAACCATCCAGATGTTCCAGAACATAAGTAAAATTGATTGCTATGTAAATTTTATCTAAGTAGATCATGACTCTGAAGCTATATGAAATGTAGTAAATTGTGATTTTTGTTATATAAATTGTTGGTAAAAATTATATACACATTTCCAGGTTCGGAAATATTCTTTTCTATCCTGGCACGTAATTTTGATATTAAAATTTATAAGAAATAATTGGACAGCTCTCACCACCGCTCACCACCGCCGTTGATTGCTTCTTTTGGAATCCCTCGTACTTTCTCTCTCTAATGCTTCGTATTTCTCCACTGCTAGTCTCCACACTCAGAATCACTGCTAGTCTCCCGAAAGTCTTCCATGTTATTTCTGATGTGTTCCACGACATTTCGACGTAAATCTATTATTTTTGTGTGATGATCTTGAGTTCCTTGTTATATATAACTGTAATATTCATACACTGAGATTATTAATCAAACGAATTTCATAGAAATATCGTATGATTTTTTGCGACAAGATTTTATGTTGAATTTCATACGACCGAACTATGAAGAACTGTCAGTTTTTTGTCAATCAGCCATCGTATGATTTTTCATGCATATAACTATGAATCTCAATTTAAACGAACGATAGCTATCATAGGACATTACGAACAATTTTATTTGTCATTTCGTATGAAACTTATAAAGGATATGAATGAAAAATATAGTTTGAGTTAATTAATTACTTTATTAGTGATGGTGACGACTAGTATTTGAGTGATTTGCTTAGTTTAACGGCTTTCTAAGTCTTAATTTCACTCTAACGACAACGATTTAATCTGCCCGACGTTTCGGCCATAGACCATGAACTAAAACCTATGACTGAAGCGTCGGGCAGATTAAATCGTAGTCTTTAGAGTGATATTAAGACTGAGAAAGCCGTTAAACCAAGCAATTACTTATTATATTTATTATATTATATATATTAAATTGAGACTCCGAGGCAGCTCGTGTTTTCTGTAACTGTGGTAACTGTCGTCGACCCTGATGCTATTGGGAAAGGTGGAGCTGCAGCAATAGATACAGTTTTGCTAGCTGGAGTAGCAGCTTTAAACGGTTTTCGACTTCGTCAATTTGTGGTAGCTGAGGATTGAAAACGAAACCGATTAGTTTTAATTTTTTAAGAAATTTTGTTGTTTGTTTTGCCCTACATTTTCCAAGGACTTCAGTGTCTTTCTTTTCTGCAGCACTTTAGCGTAATTTTCTGTCAACCCTGTTGCGTTGAACACAGCTGGAATAGAAGATCCCAGTTGAATTATTGAAGCTGTGGCAGGAAGAAAAGCTGATTTGGATAATGATGGTGGTTCCAATTTCTTTAAACAAAAATTGTAAAGTTAGGTTAGGTTTTCTTTATTAGGGAGGCTTTTAGCTCGGGACTGGATTACCTTCAGTACTGTAAAAAATAACGAGCCAACTGAGAACTTTATACTTACGATATTGCGAGTAGTTTTGTTTGTACTCGTGTCCGATTCCTGTTGAAAAAAATTTACTGTTGTATTAAATTATCAACACAAAAACAAAACATATAGCTGACACTAACCCGTCCGCAGCAGCTTGCTTAACTGTCTACAAATGTAAATAAAGTTGTAAACTACAATGAAACAATACGAATTAAATTTACTTAAAGGTTTATGGAGCCTTGCGCCACGTCTTGAAGCTGGATCCGCCATCTTGTGTTTTGTTGTTGTTTTGATTTGCACTGTTTGAATAAATTTCATACGATCATCGTATGATTTTTTGCCGTAAGCTGAACCAAATTAATTCATACGATGTGTTTATGAAATTTTAATGTTTTTCGTATACCTTTTGTTGTATCAAACTATGAATACTATAGATGGAGTATGAAAACATAAGATAATTATGAAATTGATTCAGGCTCGTATTTGCATACGTTCATACGATGTAGTTTATGAAATTTGTAGGAATAATTATCTCAGTGTATACAACTATAACACCAGCGTGGAAAATAGACAATCCCCATCGCTGGGAATTTTCTTACCGATCATACCCCATTGTCATGTGGCCGTTTAGAATGGTTCCTTCATGTAAAATGAGGGAACATTTAAATTTAACGCGATTAAAAGTATTTCAATGCCACATTGAATTTTTTGACTAATAATTATTTCACTGCAGCCATAAGGAATATAACAAAATTGTGATTTGTTATATAAATGCTTATAATAAACTCAAGGTTGTCACCTCAAAGTTTTTCATAAAATCATGAACATCCATAATATTAATTGCTTTGTATATTTGGCTGAATAATGAAGTAATTTTACTCTGCAACAATATTCAATGTAAAAACAGTGCATTAAAGAAATAGGATTGTCATAGACTCTGAGGGATCCTCCGGTAGATCTTAAACATCCGTAAAACAAATTGCATCATATGTAGGTAATCTATGGAATTTTCTCTAGAACGATATCAAATACAACAAAGGATGGTCATAGACTCTGAGTGTTTACTGGGTGATCCACTGGAGGACACGGAACATCTGTTAAATTGATAATATCATTTATTTGATCATAACATGCTAGACATTTTTCACTGGAATACCAAATACAACAACATATATGTTTCTTGATGTGAAGGAGTTAGGTCTTAATCGTTTGCCACTTTTGCCACATTTTCTAGTTCTTTATACACGGCTCTTATACTGAGTATCACTTCCTTATCACCGTGTAGTCACACCCGTAATAAGGCCCAGGATCTTGTTTGCCAGGCTGATTTATATGTTATTGATGTTGCTTTCTACAGCTTTTAGGTAGCTGCCTCCTGACAAAGCTCATTCATGAGTTGTAAAGTTCGCTGATCAGAAACGTCTCATAAAATGCTCGATACACAAAATTAATTATCACGAACGTCGGAACAAACACCCCCTTGCTTAACCATCAGAGGAATACCTTCATCATCGATGACCAACTACTAAGGACCACATGGCTATGTCACTAGGCACCCTTCTGTGCCACACGCCAGCCTACGGCTTCCACTGATTAGTGTCGATATCTTCATCCGCGCCAGATTTGAGTACAGTCAAGAACTCCCATCCAGATTGCTGGAAGAGTATCGTCAACGAACACCCCATCGGGTAAGTGGTAACCCTAGTTTCTGAGGTTAAAACCCAGTAAGGACCGGAGGGTTCACCACACCTATTGATTTTCTAGCCAATGTGGTACCACCCCGTTGCGAGATGGGATTTACAAAATCGGAGAGACTTCCTTAGACAGGCACAAGGACGCTTATCCGATGTTACGCTGACCTCTGCACCTTTTTCTCCTCCAACAACAATCTCCGAAAAAGATACCCCGAGGAAGGATGCTGATCTGCTGAGCGCACATCGCAGATATTGTGTTATCGTTTATTATTTCACTCTCTCTCGCCGCACGTACAGCTACCCCCCCCCCCCCCGGTTTGTTCGATGTAATTGTCTTTAAATAAAAAAATATGGATAAGCTAAACTTTATTGGAATTGTATGCCACTATTGGATTGGTCGTTAGTCCTCCCTAAGCAAGTAGCTGACCGACCCTGAGGGAATAGCCCTGAGCTAGTAGCTTTTCACAAAATTTCTCTTTCATCTTAGTAGAAATTACACTCTCTCTGAGTGAGATTGAACGGGCGTGTAGTAGTATCATCCGCAGATCTTTTGTATGTTGATTTTTATCTACGGAATTTTAGCGTGATCATGGTCATTAGTAAGATTTGATTTTTTTATATATATATTCCCAAAACTGGCAACTGGCAACTGGCACTGGCATATCAGATTTTGACAGCATTCTGCCCAGTGCTGTAAATTTTAATATCATTCGATTGAAGATGAACCAATACAACCATTCAATCAATTCTGTGTAAACGAAGTCTCACATGACCATAATTTGAAGAGCCCCTTTCTCATTCGAAGCTCATTGTCACTGTCAATTGAGTCAATCACTATCATTTGATATACGACAGTGAAGTATGGAAGAAATCCAGCAAGATGGTCCCGAACAGACAAGTCGACCCGATTTCGGATCAATGTAAGTATAATTTAAGGTCGATGTCGACCCAATGTCGTGTTGTTGTCGGGTCAATTTTGGGTTTATGTCGGGTCAATGTCGGGTAAACATCGGGTTGGGGTTTGTAAGAAGTCAGGTTGGTGTCGGGTTGGCTTAGCTTTTTCGCCGGAATGTCGACCAGAGCTCTGTTTATGTGTAGGTTACACTCAATTGAATGATATATAGCATTGTATTTAAATATGTTGTATGAAACATATGCAGAGGATGTTATAAATCCAACAATACATTCAATGTAAGAGAAATACAGTCTACATTGACCATTTTTCCCACATCAGATTTCCAAATTTACATCCATAGCTTTCTAGGTCGATGGTGCCTTCAATATCGAGGTAGAGTTTTTTTTCAATAATTCAACTTTATTTACCTCGAAATCTTATGTAACAGCTTGTGTGGTATGATACACTTTAATGCAGAAAACTGGTGAATGGTGTTTCCTCACTGATCAATTTTATCATGATGATAGGTAAACAAGCATCACCGTTATCAAACACAATGTTTTAAGTGGCCATTGTACGACACTAGGAAAGCTTATCATTTCTCTTTAACGATTAGTTGTCATTTGACTTCAGGTACATTAAATCGTTCAATCAGTTCCGTCCTCAGCATATTGAAAATTAAATGGAGTTTTCGTTATTCGATTATATAGATACCTCGACACTGCCATTTAAAAACCCAATGAAAATGTTATAACACAGTGAAAATGGCTGAGAATAAGAACGTCGATGACGTGAAACAAGAGATAAATGATCCAATTAGTGAGGTTGAAATAGGCCAAGAAACTGAAGCAGATTACTATGCCTTAAAGAAATGGGAGCTAGGGTTTTTAAGGGTATGTGCAAGTGCAACATTAAAATGATAAAAGTTAAATTTGGTGTATTCTAAACAGAGAGAATGTGTGAATTTAGGCCTAGAGGCATTCTACAACAAGTACATGGCAAGAGTACAGCGAAGCTACTTATCAATATTCGTGGTACTACAGACTTTCATAAGTATAGCTCACGTAGTGGTAATAGTAACAGGAGAACAAGTATGAAATCACACATTGATGGCAAGGAATTTTTTTAGCAAAAGTATACAATTTTAGCACCCCACTGCTGCCATACACCCAGATTTGATTTGCTACACGTTTGGAAGCTTGATTGTCTGGGTTTCATTGTTTGCTGCATTTAAAGAAAGGCTCATCAAAGCACATCCATGGGTACCGTATGTAACATCATGTGCAGCGATTTTCACGCTCATAGTGACCGGTAAGCTCATTGATATATTTCGTAATTGTCACATTCTCAAAGTCAAATTTTATGTCTTGCAGATATAATGATACCACTCTATCATGCTGTAGTATCTTTCATGAACCCTCCCCTACGGCCGTCATATGCCAGTCATATAATATTCGCAATTTACATCTTTCTACCACTTAGCGAAAATATTCATGTAATCATTTTAGGTGGTGCTACTACCATATGTTATTTAATAATAATGGCTTTGATTTCATATCGTCTGGAACAAGATATGCTCATCAAAGTAGTAACAGAGCTGATTTACTTTTTATGTCTTAATTTATTTGGATTATATTTTCGCCTAATAAACGAAGTGGCCATTCGACGCACATTTCTGGACCGCAGGGAGTTAGTTGAAGGGAATCTTCTTTTGAAATTTGCAAGAAATCAAGAGGTAGGCACTGATACAGTTATACATACGAGAATACATAATATAGATCACTCATTATTTACAGAAAGAACTGTTGTTGAGTATTCTACCGGAACACACAGCTGAATTAATGGAAAAAGACATAAGAGTCATGATTGAAAAAATGCGCAGTGGTCATAACAACAATATCAACATGCAAAAGTATTCATGAATTTTCTGGTAAAAAATAAATAAAACTAAAATAACAATTACAGCTTTTTCAGAACTGGGACTCAATGGCGATCTATAAAGTAATTTTTACATCGATAAATGTTATTTTTTTATTCGTTTACCGTGTTTACTTGCTACGTTTCATGGGTTCAAATTAATTTTCAACAACATGTTATTGCTTTTCATATTTATTGTTCAAAAGTTTTGTATTGCCTGAAGTTTATGACTACACATTAGATAAAACTTTAAATTAAAGACTACAGGAATATGCAAGGAAACACCATAATATTTTTATGAAAATTCAAATAATGTAATTCATCTTCACACACATGTACTGCCCATAAAAGCATAGCTGTGCCATCTTGACTTAGTTTTCTATTTATCTGGAACAGTTATGTTTTTGTGGACAGTGTATATATATATATATATACAGCCATTCCATTCACATTTCGTAAAAATTGGTAGTTTTGTTCCTTATCGCAAAATATTAGACCCGTATTTTTTTTTATTTTGTCATTAGAGTGACCGTTTCCATGTTAGCGAACAAAAATATCCTTTAGTACCGTCCCAATGACGCGTTAATCTAGATAAAATTGATACATAGCAGATTTTTAGCGATGGGTCCAATCTTAGATCCATAGGCCAACATTAGAGCCATTTCCCCTATATAGTTTTCATGAAGTTGTAATGAAATTGGATTATTAGCGGAATGCTTGAATAAAACAGCAAAAAAGGTTATCTTCCATTTAATTCCACTTAATTAATTTTGGTATATATGACAGATACACATTCCGACTACAATGTGCAGTCTTCATCAGTGTCATTCCCACTAAATACTTATCCAAAATCTAACCCCCTTAAGTACTCATCCCCTAGGTAAAAATTTCAAGATCAAAAGTACAGTACAATGTGTAGATCGGAGCCTACCTAACTAAAGCAACCAAATATTTGAGTAAAGTAAAATCGTTTTTTTATGACTTTCTTCAAAGGTTCATAACTTTTGAACCACTGAGCTGGTTTTTGAGATAATAATATCAAATTCAAGGTAATTAAAAATGGTTTTTAGAAAAAATATAACGATAATCAAAAATTGGAATTTTGTATTGAAAATATTGATTGTATTTGTTTTTTTTATGGACTTCATGGTTTGTAGACAGAGGGCGCAATATTTTTTTAATTATTTCCTGAAATTTTAGGCTTTTTTACACATAAAAAAAAAACCAGCGATGTGTTTTTTTCCATTTTGATTTATATTTTTTGAATTTATTGTTCAATACTAGACTACCATGCATCTCCATTGATTTGAAGCGACATTTATTTAAATTTTGGAGTATTGAGCGAAAACCCAAGACTTGATAGCTTCAATAAAATATAAGGTATGGATTTATTTATATTTATATTTATATTTATATTTATATGTTGTGTAAAAAAGCCTTCATTTGTAACGAAAACTATAAAAACATATTGCGCCCTCTGTCTACAAACCATGAAAACTATAAAAAAACAAATACAATCAATGTTTTTCAAAACTTTGTCCAAAACTTTGCGATAAGGTACAAAACTACCTTTTTCTACGAAATTCGGAGAACCACTATATTGTTTTGCTATGGAATGGCTATTATATATATATATAATACGTAGGTATACATAATAGCATAATAGCAGAGCAGGCCTTTTTTCATACAAGCTAACAAATTCAGACAGTTGTGAACACAAATGAGCTGAAATTTTGGGACAAAATATATAATTTTAATTTAATCAAAGGGACAGCCAAAATAGGTGAATTAGTTCAAAATAATAACTGTTTAAAAACATTCCTGTTTTGGCTGATTGAAAAAAAAAAAAATGGTAATTATATATGAATTTACTATTACTGACAGTTCAAATAATGTCCATAAAACATTAGAACATCAGAACATATCAAAGCTGGGCAATTTGTATGAAAACCGGTCGCGATGCTATCATTCCGAGCAGCACTGTATACAATTTAATATTACAGCAAACTATACGTGCAAAAGCATACAAATGTAACAATTCTATATGCGGATGTGGTCAACTATACATATATTACCACTCAGTTACCGGTTAAAGCTCTGGTTGATGTTCTCCATGAACTATTTGTCAAATTCGATGAAGCGGCAAAAGAGTTTAATGTGTTGAGGATAAAATTTTTGGGTGATTGTTATTACTGCGTTTCGGGCGTGCCCATCAAGAATAAATACCATGCAAAAAGCTGTGTTGATCTAGGACTACGCATGATTAAGGATATTCGAGATGTAAGAATGTCAAGAGATCTTAACATAGATATGCGAATCGGCATACACTCCGGAAGCATTATTTCTGGCGTGATAGGAGCATGCAAATGGCAGTACGATATTTGGTCCAGAGATGTAATCATAGCAAATAAGATGGAATCAACTGGAGAAGCTGGGTAATAAAAAAATAAAAACAAATTATTCATGATACTGAAACATGCTACCTTTTTCCAGTAAAGTGCACGTTACAATGCAAACATTGGAATTGTTGGACGGGGAATACATTTACGAAGACGGTACGGATAAAGCTAAGTCCGACCCAATTCTAGTGAAGCACAACATACAAACGTTCCTCATAGTACCTCAATTTTCAGATGATAATAATGTAAGTAAAAACTCTTTCTACGAGATAAGCTTTAAATCAACATAAAAATTTTAGTATTTCGCATTGTCGGATTCTGCAACAAGTAGCCGATTGTCGGTCGGAGTCAAACGAAAAACTATCCAAATCAAGGTATCTATTAGGCTGGGATTTTCTGGATATGCAGTTTACAAGGCTATTATTGTGATAAACCTACAATAAGTAGAGCATGCTCTTTTTTCCCGCTTGTTGTGTAGACCGGTTATAGCTTATTCTTCCAATCAGTCATTGGATCTAGAAAAAAAAAATAATAGACGAAGAACAAATACCACAAGATTTTCCCTGCAGAAGGCTTTAACCAACGTCGCAACGTAGGCACGAGTTGTAACAATTTCATTATAATTTGTCTTTGCAAGACTGCATGGCCGAAAACCCACAGCTCTTTTCAATCCAACAGTCAAAAACTCCAATCATAATATTTATTAGTGGAAGGGATCGTAGACTAATTACAGTAGCACATGTAACAGATTATATCCTAGGATTTTGAAATTCATGTTTGTGATACGTAATTAGTATGCGGTCCATAATTCAACGACAAACTCAGCTCTAATGCTCCACTTCATACATATAGAAAGATCGAAGTCAAGTAACTCGAAACTTCATGCAAAACTCAATGGAACAATTCCGAGAAATAATGAAACAAACCAACGTCGAAATGGCAAAGGAATTAGATCGTATGCCAATAGGAAAATTTCAGTGAGTGATTCCGTAAGCATAGAAGATGGACAGAGTATCAAATGCTTTGCTTATATTGCAGATTCAACAAAATATTTTCAACCAGCCGCCATACAACGCAGCAGCAAGCATCAACGACAGCACACTACTCGAATGCATATACTAATAGCGACACGATCAGCGATAGTCGTTTGGATAATATATCTACTTTTTTCATGTGCTTCGAAAATAAACGCTGGGAGTGGCTATACATGAAAGAGCCAGATCTTATGCTTAAGTACAGTGTGCTTATGAGCTTTATAGTTTTTGTCTGCATTTTTTTAATACAGGTTTTTGACAATGCGTGAGTATTCATCTTTTCAATTTTATTAACTGCTATTATAGTATGATGAAAGCACATAAATTTCAGGTCTGGATTCTATTTTTGGATGATAATGCTGTTTACTGGATTAGTGTTGTTTTGTTTCATACCGATTACATGGTTTAAAAAACTCTGGGATATATACACGCCATATTCATCGGAGGATTTGCTCCGCATTCGAAAACCAAGAAACCTGGTTCTGCGAAAGATGTACGATTTTTCAAACAGTGTAATGGGAAGTTTTGCATTTCGAACAATTATTTATCTCGTAACAATCGTAATTTTAGTTACCTGTTCTTTAGTTTATTTGGTAAGTAATGGTTGGCATTTATGTATAATTAAAATTATTCCAATATTTTTTCTAGATTGAATGCAACTATGATATCATTGACAGAGGTGTGCAGGAAAATTACAACGAAACTATGTACAAAGAATCACTCGTCGAAAAAGCATTCTGCTCGAACTCATGGGTATGATATCGATTTTGGATTGAAAAATATGCTTAACTTAATTTTCTTATTTAAAGTCTGTTAGCCAGTGTCTCACACTTGCCATTGGGATGGCATTCTTGTTCCTACGAGTTCACTATCTTCTCAAAGTAGTGTGTGGATTAGCAATCCTTCTGTTCTATTCATGGGCTATATTTGACGAGCTATACTATATTTACGACAATAGCGCCAGCATGAACCCAGGAATGAATCCCAAAGTGGCACATCTACTATTAGTAGTCTTTACTGTAATAATTTTTCATTGGATTGACCGACAATCGGAATACATTGCTCGAGTTGACTATAAGTATTGATTCGATAATGCTTAAAATACGCAACTATTGATATTTCTGTGCATTTTTCTAGCTGGAAAAGGCAACTATTAAAACAAAAAGAAGAAGCAGAAGTCACCAAGCAAACTAATAAAATCCTTGTAGAAAACATTCTACCTACACATGTTGGTAAGACTGATAATTTTTATCTGTTTATGTAAACTGTACACACGTAAGTCAATATTGCAGCTGAAATTTACATCAATCGTCAACTGAAAAATGAATTCTACAATGAGGAGTATAAAAATGTTGCAGTTATGTTTGCAACAATTACAAACATGGAAATAAACACGGATATCGCGGTAGAAAACGAGAAAAGTGTCTTGAAAGTATTGAACGAGATCATTTGTGACTTTGATGAAAAGTTACAATACTTTGATGGCTATTTGAAAGTGGAGAAAATAAAAGTTGCAGGGTGGACATATATGGCAGCATGTGGGCTTGATCCTGGTCGATGTGACTCATCATCTTCACTAGGACCATATCGTTCAGTTTCCGGTATCACACGCACATCTCTGATGACCAATGGTAGAAGAAGTTTAAATCCTAGAACATCAGATATATCCCCACAGCTTCCTCGTAGAAATAATTCCAGTACGAGGCACAGCAACAACGTAACAATTGTTATGACTGAATTTGCGCTAGAACTGATGAAGGTTTTGCGCGACTTTAGCATTGAAAATTTTAAGCAAACGAATCCTGGCTTGTTGAGAGTTGGTATTTCGAATGGGAAAGTAATGGCTGGAGTTGTTGGCTCAAGTAAACCTCTATACGATATATGGGGAAATGCCGTGAACATGGCATCCAGGATGGATTCTACAGGAGTTCCTGGGCGAATCCAAGTGACTAAGGAAAGCGCAGAAATTCTTCAGAGTTACGGATTTCAATGTGAATATAGAGGCCAAATATTCGTTAAAGGAAGAGGAAAAATTCCGACCTATTTCGTAAATGTTAATGATAGTTATGAACTCATCAAAAGCACAACAGCAGATAATATTTCAACCAAACTATAAAAATCAGCAGCCAAAATTGACAGATCTCTCCTAGCTGTATACACCTACAGTATGTATATTGTATATGTATATGCATCAACTCGACATTATGATACTACCTCCACTTTCAACCTTCTTGAGTATGTCAAACGTTAAGCAGTCTACACGTCACAACCACCGGTACCGATTGCTACCGAGCAATATTAAATTACATAGTTGATATTTTAGTTGAATAAAATAACGCCGCAATGTCTAAAAGAATTCCAACAAAACAAGATGAACGGGAAAAAATTAACGTACGAGAAAGGTTAACCGATAACGTGTTAGACTTGAGTCTAATGAATATTTCGGTAGTTCCAGTAGCCGAAATCGTAAGTGCGCTTTATTGACTTTGAACTAAATATCTAACACTACTGTTTTTCTTCCAGAAACCTTTGAAGCGTGCCACAGTTCTAGATTTATCAAACAACGTCATCACAGCTATAAATGTAAGAATACTATTTTATATGTTATCAACCAACTAATTACTAAATCAACAAGTACGATTTCAGACAGAGTTTACTACACTAGTTCAGTTAACAAAATTGGATCTTAGTAACAATAAAATCAGGTTGATAACAGATGACTTTGGAAATCTCGTTAATCTTCGTCATCTGGATCTCTACAATAATCAAATTGAACGACTTCCATTGAGTTTCGGTCGCCTGAAAAAGCTTAAATATCTTGACCTGAAAAATAACCGCCTTAATCCGGTGTTTTCGAAAATAGTAGGAACATGCACAGACCAGAAGGATTGCATTGAAGCAGCTAGAAAAGCGGTTACATTTATGGTTGACATTGAGCAACAGGTATCCTACAGTGTGATCGATACTTTTATTAACTGGAATATTATTAAATTTTCTTATGGATTGTTTCGTTATAGGTTCTGGAGGAGCGCCGCAAGGAAAAGGAACAAAAAGAATTAGAACTACAGCGAGAGCAGGGTAAAGCTCTTCAGGAAGCTAAGCAATCCGATAAAGCCAATCCAGATAAGAAAAAGAAAAATAAAAACAAAAAATCCAAGGTCGACAGCTCACAACCAGTAAACAACCAAATGGATGATGTTGCTACTAATAATAAGGTCACCCAAAAGGAAATAAAAGGAATCTGTAACACGGAAAATGATAGAAAAACTTCAGGCATGGGAATAGTCAGGTATTTTCTACTGGCTGCTCTTGTTGTCATAGTTCTTACAATAGTTTTTATGTTTAAAGCAGAATTGATTGATGAAATTTTTGGTCGAGGTAGCATTGAAATTTTAGAGGAATATATTAAGTAAAATCCATTGAGCGATATGAAATATTAAAGATAAACGGTAAAACTGTAATAAAATAGTGTTTTTCTTATTTCCTGTGTTTATTACAATCATATACCCTATTATGAATGCAAGCTTGCTGTTAACATATCCACTAAATTTTTGTCGTTTCGTTAATACTAAGATTAAGAAATGGAACATGCTTTTGGAGCAATAGGAAATTTACTAAATGTTTAAAAGCTGATGATTTTATATTGATTTCGTTGTGGAATGCATGTTTTCATTCCAAAACCAATAAACTTTAATCGCTCGGGAAAATACGTCCAAATAAGTGGTAATTCTTTATAGTAGCGGGTGTCACTGAAAGAAAACCTTAAAAAACGTGATGTTCTACCAGAGGCACCCGTGATGGATCTTTAGTTCATAGAGAAACCTTGAAAACGGTCCAAGTCGGAAATAGCTATTACCCTAATGATAGCCAGTTTATTTGGAGATTTTAGATGCTGCTAAGTGAAATCCAATGTTTCAACAGTTGCTTAAACGGTCGTATAGAGACAAAAATTCACTAAACAAAATTAATAATTTGCGAAGCTTTTGGAAATTTATAGGGCAAAGGTTATTTTGAGATGAAAAATTAACACATTTGTACTAGCTTTGCAGATATGGAACACAAGCGAATCAATAGATAATAGATGGTTTTAGTTGCAAGCTCATTTGTTTTTTTTTTTAGAATAATCGATCTAATAATGAATTCCGAATGCTTTATGTTTAGAAATATTTGAATTGAACCGTAACTTTTTCTTCGTACGAAATAGTATATTTGTATTTAGGCGAAAGGTTTTCTCAATTTTCATCGCAAAAAATTAAGTAAGAAATGATCCCTACTCATCTTGGACTTTCATGGTGTGAACTAACATGTTTAGATCTAACGTTCAAATGCTACCAACTGACAAAAAATGAATATATTAGAAGTTAGTGTGCAAAGCTATGGATGACTACCAATTCTATCTTCAAAAATCGTTTTATGGACCACAAATTCTCAACAACAACAAAAACCATAACTAATGGTATTTGGCCCATTGGAGATAGGCAATAACGCACACATACACTGTTTTATCCCAAGAACCGGAGTGATATCCGTCTCTTTCCCAAACCGCATGCGTATTTTTTACCCTTCTTACACATAAGAGTTTATTCTCTATTACTACGGAACTAAATAGCATCAAGTCTAGCCTATAGGTGTTCTCACCGAAAACTTTGGTGTGAATTGTGGTACCAGTCTTACTTTTACTCTTGCATCAGACGGTTGCTGCCCAGTTAAGTTGCGTAGGGGACCTCATTGTCTTCTTTGTGAGTCAATACATTTCCCCAGCCACTAATTGGGTTAGCCCATTGAAAAGAGAGAAAGCCGCTTTCTTCTGTTGCCATTAAAAAGTACATATTCAGTTCTATGATCCTATTCTAATCACCCTATCAAGTTACATATCCAAATTGCGATTCGTGAAACACTCCGACTTGTTACGTCAGTCGGACATTCATTGCCGAAAGAAAAGCAATATTTGTATATGTGAGTATTTTTCAAGGTTTCTGTTTATGGCCGCTGATGAAAGTGATAAAAGTCCTGTTAAGACAGCATAATACCTTTAATGAATGTACCGCCATTCTGTAACTATCTTTCACTGAGACAGCCATCAACCGGTGCATCTTTATTCTACGTAGATACAAACGGCCACGTGTTTCTTTGCTTAACGTGAGGCAATTGTCTACTGAATTGTAAGCGTATTGAACAGAATCAGCATACACCAATACTGGGAACAAAGCCCGAAAAAGTGTTGCACACTATTGCAAAAATGTAGTGACAGCGAATCGCATGCCTCAATTTTGGACTGAAGCCCTGATTTTACCATATATCTTTTATTCCGCTATGGTTCAAACTCATAATTGAAATTCATTTTCTTTTCATGTATACATATCAAGCATAGGCACATGTTGCAGTTTAGTAAGTGATTCCAGGCGATGTATGGAACTAATCCTCACACAATGTCCACGGGTTCAATTAAGGTGCTGATGAACACTTTTTCCATGGCGCACATCATGGTATAAATTGCAATGATGCAATTTTTACCATTGACTGCAACATAGTCGAGAATTTCTTTGAGAACTTATCCGATTTTCTAACGTGTCATGAATAAAATGTTTAATATGTGCGGTTCATGGGGTAGAAAACCTGATGCGGTAGATAACACTAAATTTTGTTATATATAGTTTTCTAAATTTAAACAAAGGTGTCGATGCACTTTGAAGGCCAACAAACATGCCCAAAAAAAGTGAAAGTAGATAGAATGTGCGTTCGAAGCAAGCCTTTTGTGGTTCTGTTATTTTAAGAGATGAAAAACTCTTCAATCACATCGTGTGAATGTTTTGGCACAACAAATAAAAAATGATGCAATGTTATACCATACGCAGCAAAAGGTGCTGTGTCATGCTGATAGTTGGTTGTGAAAATATAAATTCACACAATATTTGCTGGATTTCGAACACATACGCACTGACACCTTTGCTGGAATCAAAGTGTATGAAAATCATAATCATCATCTTTTAAACAAAATCTTTTAGTTGAAATGCGGAGCTACAGAGAAGTACCGTTGTTTGCGGATGGAATTTTATCCGGTATTTTTTTTTTTTTAATTCCTTGATACCTGGGGCCACATTATGCAACCAAGACGAAAAGAGTTTGTCATACAATCGTTCATACGCAAAACAATTCGTGCGACTTCCCCAATGAGGCTTCCTGGCTTTTGGTAATATAGATACCATTTGCAGTCAGAATTATTTCTACCAAATATCAGGCAGCTATGAATTGGGAAAAAAATGAGTACCGGCATCCGCAAACAACGATATCTCTTTTTAAAATTGTGAACAAAATATTGTTTCTAATAAGATCACTAATAGGAATACATAGGTCTTAATATGCTCCTATTTTGGGCTTAAATAAACATCAGCCTGAAATATCTACGCAAAAGGATCTTACTGCATTGCAAATTGTCGCTACAATTAAAAGTTTTGGCAATAGGGTCTAAAATAGGAGTATAACACAACTGGTTATGTATTCATATTAAATAATCTTATTGATTTAATGAATGAAAATCAATTCCAGTTCAAATACGATTATAACATAAGTTTATGCTTTCATAATTACCCATTCACGGTGGCAAACTTCCTAAAATATTCACCAACCTGTCAAAATAATAACGAAAAACATAAATTAAATGATTTATTCACATCATGAATGGCTTGATAATGTATAAACAAATGGCACAACAAACCGATTTACGAAAACTGTTTTAAAACATAAATTGCCATACCGTGAGTGCCATAATTTCACGCGTCGCCTAAGTCCGCGCATTTTGTTCAACAATTTGCAGTGTATTGAAATATTTTCTAATTTAGTATTTTTCCCAAACACTAGTCAATAATATCTATTAAAATTTCTATCTTAATTCACAATATCTTGATTAAAGATTTGGTGCACGAAATTATGGCACTTCGCGGTTATACAGAAATAATAAATTCTGCTAATTCTAACATACTCTTCTGCTAGTTCTAACATTCTCTCAGTTATTATATTCATGAACCGTTGGGACACACCATAGATATGAAAAGCTGTGTGATGATGATATGTGGTTAAGAAATCGAAAGCATGTGAATATTTTTTGATTCGTCATCGTTACTTCTGACGATTTCTTTACGATTCAGGGCAGAATGATGTCATTATGTCTAATCTATGTACACATATACAAATCTCTCTGTATTGATAACTTTAACTTGACCGTATATGACGTTTGAAAACAGCGATAGCACGATATGTGTTTTAGTATAATATATTACAAACCATTAAGCGTGTCCTCAGTTTTGTGCAACAAGCGTTAGAGTGCACACCGATTCAAGCTTACTAGTGGTTCTATCAGTTATTATGACTCTGTCATGAACGAGGCGCAATTATCAATATCATATTTCTGCTGATCAAACCTTTAACGTTACTTTGCTGTTGGTATAAAGTGTGTGTTGTTGAACTATAAGCTTTCATCATAGCTGCTGAACCAATTACTTGCGCTTGTAAATTACGGAGTGGTAAGTGGTTGTATCTAGCATAGAGAAAATAATAATAAATAGTGTGGTTTATACGAATTATTAACATACAGTACCCCAAACCAAGATGGATAGGGAAACTAAAGATATCATCATTAATCGTTAAACATTTTACGTGGCAAATGTACGAAGAAAAACAACATCCGTGATTGAAATCACACGTGTTGTTGAAGGCGTCGTTTTGGACAACAATTAAGAGTTCAAACAAATAACTTCGTTATCAGCAAGTTGTACTTCGGTACAGGCTTGATAAGCATAGTGGAGTGGACCAAAGCTGATAAGATGTGTTTAAATTTTTACCAGTTGCTGAGTTATTTGCGAAACGATTACCGCACGATATTTTCAAAAGACCATTTTTAATTGTTTGTTTAAAAAAACAAATAAAGCAAAGGAAACACCATGAGGAAGTGAAAATATACTTCTACACCTCGATCAATATCGATTCATGCCGCTGAATGTTGATTCACAAAAAGGCACTTGAAGTTAAGCCCATTTGAAAAACAAAAATCGGTAGATCACTACACACGATCGGTTGAAGAACATTACCAAAATTTTCTATGGCGCAGCCAAATGACGATCGCATCGTCGACAGTTGGAAAAGTGTGACTGACAAGCTCAACACATTACTAACGAATTAGTCTGAAAATAGAAGAAAAGCACCACGACGAGATAAATTTTTTGACGCTTTTTTCTGTCCGACATTTTCAAGCTATGGATATTTTTATGAAAATCGACATGTGTAAGATTGAACACTGTAGTCTTTTCAAAACACGTGACTAAGATTGTTTTTCTACTTTGCAATATTGACGTAAAATGTGTCCTTGTTGAGAGCTAGATAGATCGGTACTGAATAACAGAATTACTGTATACAACAAATCCAGGTGTAACGTTTTTACCTGTTTGGGAGTTTGCTTTTTCATACAGTTTGATGACGATTCAGGCACATCTCATGTTCTCCCAGTTTTCATGAAGACAAACAAGCGAGCAAATAAGCTACCAAAGGGTTCCAATGCGTGTTCAATAATCAGTACCATAGCTTGTTTTTGTTGCTCTGATCGAAAATAGAGGGGAGCCTTTGAAGTAAAATATCGGCAAAGGGTATAAATAGCGGAACTTTACACTTAGTAGTTGATTCATGCGAAACCAATAACCATGAAAGTTGTATCAAAGCCGAATAGTTCTTTGCTACTCAAAGAAGAATATATTATGTTTTTTTTTTGGTGAAAATGATTTTTTATTAAAATTGTGAAACGATCACTTGCATCAATGTCTAGACACTTTTTATTATAGGGGCAAACAAAAGTTCAAACCAACCGAGAGGTTGCATTATGATGGTTACTATCCAGTTCGAGTGGAATGGCGGATCAATTAGTTGATTCACATAAAGAAGAAGTATAGCTCTATCAATTTCGTTTGATAGGCGAATAAAAATCGATACTTCAACAAACAAGCTTAATTAGCTTGATCAATTGAGATCCATGTCGTCTAGTACCCATATAATTGACTGTCAAAATATCAATAACATTTTTTCTTTCTTTTTTTCCTAACAGATACTCTAACGCATAGATCAACAGAAGCAATAGGCCAGACAAATTTAAAATGGTTAACGTAAGTTAGCAACACTGATCAACATTTAGCAGATATGTAATGTGTATTATTTTTCTCACAGGAATACACCGGGCCACCTGCCCAAGAGCTCGAAACATTCTTACCCAAAGATGCTAAAAATGGGACATCAAAGTAAGTAGCGTAACTATGCATGTGTATGTTTGTGTGTAATCTTAAACTACAAACATTGTTATGAAAAAGTAAAAAAAAAACAAATTTGTGAACAATAATTATGAATTGATTTTCTGGGTATTATCTTTTACAAGTTCTACTACAGCTTTTACCATTAACTGCATTAACCATACCAGGTTATACAGATAGCCGTGTTTTAAATAGCATGTCTATACAATTTTTCTTTAATTTAATTCTGATCAGTTTAAGAAAAAAAAATCCAGATTTCGTTGAGGCGGGATTACACGTTAATTAATGTTAATTTAAGAGTAACTCCAAACAAATTTAATTTTAGCTTAGTACATTTGATTTTTTGATTTTGCGAGACAGAAAGGGGTCTTATGCAGGCCAAGTCTCAAGGTCACATTTTAGAACATGAGTGGAACATGGTATTCACATCAAACTATAATGAACCAAATGCCCCAAACAACTTCTACAACGGCTCCCATACACTCTCCATGCTGAATCGTGGTTCCTCATATAATTTCATGTAAAATAATAACCATGCAGGCATATTCAATTGCCTAAATGAATTTGTTGCAATGATAGTATGAACAGTAATGATAGTATAATATAGTAATCGAATAAAATTAATATTTACCTAATGATCGAGATTGAGCTTGAGCTTGAGCTTGATTGACCGCCCACGGTTGCTACTCTGTTACTGCCAGATCAGCTGTAATTACACAGAGAACCCACGTTGGGTGCCAAGTATAACTGATGTAAGAACTCAGCACTCACCAACTACCTACTCGGAGATCAAACATACAGCACCCGGTCGACTCAGGCGACAAGAGCAAACTCTGGAACACCCAGGGTCGGCTAGCTACCGGGTAATCAGAGGGTTTCGCGATACAAAAACGAAGAACTTTCACTTTTCTTTAAATGCGTTTATTTGCCAGTTTCTGTGTTGTGTGCGTGTTGTTCTGTGTTCATAATTTCGTGTAATATGTGTCGTGTAGCCTAATCGCGTTGTTTACTGTACCGGTACATACCGCTGCTGCCGTTGATGATGAATCGGGATGGCCGACACAGTGACTCCTGTCCTACTGTGTGGCCGGAACTCTCGCCAGATTGGCGAAGCGAGCGGATGAAAGGCCAGCGGGCGTTGCTGGACGGTGGGATGGCAGGCGTCGTCCTTCGTTGGCACGATCGGCCGACCGTGGCAAGGCCACCTTGGTCAAGCCGAGAAGGGAAAACTCCTTTACGATTATGGCCTACGTTTGGCCAGATAATAATGTTTGGCCCTTGACAATTGGGCTCGGAACCTGTTTCCAAGTTTATGAGCCGGCCGTGAGCTGACGGATAACCTTTTTAAGGTTCAATATAAAAAAGAGGTCCTATCGGACGAATACGTAATTAATTTACGATTTTTGGTGCAGGGTATTTAGTTACCTGAACGTTAAATTTCCCTAGCGCACACTAGCTGTTGCTAGGGGGGGAGTCCTGGTTCACGTTCTAAAACACCAACCACTGCACTTAGCTAATACAATTGCGTCTTAGCACACGGACGCCTGATATTAAAAGAGGCCGATTTTGGGCAATGGCCGTTCTTTCTCCCAATTTTCCTTCATCCCGTCATCCTAGTTTTCTATGGTTGTTTGTAGTTCTATTGTGGAAATAACGTAACGGCACAACATTTTCACAGCGGTACAGAACCCTATCACTTCTGTGGTATACTGCTGTTCTTGCACAAGAAACGTGAAGGTTCTGAATATATAACATAAATGACAAAAATCTATGAATTTGTGACCAAACGGTTACACAATAGACGATGCTTGGGACTAGCAATCATCCTCAATGTGTAAACTGGTGATCTTAAATTAGGCAATACCAGCGCCGGCCGCGCCCGAACACAGGTCAAGAAAGGAATGGGAAGGATTGTGTTGACATGACACTCGCTTTGATGGAAGCTCAGAACACCTCTGCACTTCCACGAGAAATCACTGGGATGTTGGATAAGAGAGTTGGGTTTGCAGCAGGGTTCGTTTTGGTAAACGATAAGCTGTCCTAACGATCATTTAACGCGAAGGAGCTTGGGACTAAACGCACGGTCTTCTGCTCAGTAAGCAAAAACGTTTGCCACTAGGCAGACGAGCACCTTTTTAATCACCGAGTTGCTGTTATTACCATGTAGTCATATTAACAAATAAAACGATTGACGAATCTTGAATGTGGATGGGCCTGAGATTAGACTCATGATGTTCTGCTCAGTAAGCAAAAACGGTTGCTCTAAGGCCACCGAGCCCCTCATATCACATAATACCGTTGCTCAAATTTGTGTATCCATTCAAACCCGGAACCAACGACAACAACGAGTTTCGCAAAATACACGATACACAAGCGATTTTACCATAAATCTCTTTGATATGTAAGGACCTGGGACCGCGTTTTTCTGCTCAGTAAGCAGGCCACTGTAACCGATGATCTTTAAAATCCGAAAAATAAAAACTACGAAAAAGTACTTACGCCTTCATTAAGTTCCACTTTCACGCGACGTTCCTATCCAGGGTCCTATCCAGGATTACATCTGAAAAATCCAAATCTGGCCAACGCCCACCTAAACCTGTTCTAATCCACCTGAAATGACTAACGAATGGAAGACTTTGACTACCCAGCCATGCAATAGTCTCATTCCGTGCCTTATGGCAACTTGATGATTCTATTGCGCTCATCTTCTGGCACCACCCAGGGGAGACTTGGTCCTGTACCCAATGCTTAACTTATCTCCATTCCACTCAGCTACTCGCAATTTCTTGTGATATAGTGGGCGGAATATTATTATATGAGACAATTCAATGCAGACGTCTTTCCAAATTTGGCAGATCGACAGGTAATCGGTGAGTTACCACGATAGTTGCTATTCAACAACTCGACAACGTCCCATCGTCAACGCCTGCTATGAGAATTTCCCATTGCAGACGTCAACGAAATGACGTCATCGAGCTATCGATCAACTACCCTGGTTATCGCCTGGTACCTTATAGCACGATGCTAGGAGGCGAACCGGAAGAATCGATGAGCTACCTCTCCCCCTATTTACCTAATGATCGAGATTGGTGACAAATAAGGGAAGTTGTTAGTTGATTTTTCGGACTATCATCACAGAGTTTGGCATATGCGTGATGGCATATTGTTATGAGGCTGATTAGACGAATCCTGGGAAAGCATAATCCTCGTCGTCAGAGAAACCTCTGAAATCCAGGAAGTTCAGTTGATCATTGCTACTTGTATCACTGAGAGTATTTTCCAAGTCTTTGTATTTTGATTCCACCGTTTCAGTGAACAATCTAGTCGTGACTGTTTTAAACTCGCTTATGTTATTAGCCATCAATTGCCAAGAATTCCGCCGATCGATCGCTTCTTTCTACATCCTGCCTTGCGCTGATTTTCCATCGGACTATGTATCTATCTATCTATAGGGCTTTCCAGATAATATGTTATGATAGTTCTGTTTTAATATCGTTGTCTTCTTCAAAACTTCATCGTCTTGATCTATAGAAAAGAAAATCGCCACGCGATCAAGCCAAATTCAAAGGTAGTAACTGTGTGATGTCGCATTCCAACAGTTTTGAATCTAATAAACATTTATTTTGCAGCCATTAGGCTCAATTATTTAGAAAACCAATTCAAAGTTAAAATCATATTTTTAAACTACACAATTACTAAACTTTTGGTCCACTACATCACAACTGGCATAACTAGTGTGCATCTTTCAAAATTTAAAGATACAGACAAACCCTGGGACCTGGTTGCAGTTAAACAATCTTCATCTAGTGTATTTTCTGATGCAATATGGGCGAGCATTTATCCACGAATTATATCCTAAAAATAACAAATGTACATTCCATATTCCGGAAGCCACAAATGACTTGCATTTTAAAACTATATGAAATTTAAAAGCTATAAGTGTCAAATTCTGGTATCTAATAAAACGAAACGCTGTTGATCACAGAGAAGAAGAAAAATATGCAGGGGAATATTAAAAAGCTTATTGAAAACAATAGTGGCTCCATTTTTTTCAAAAATGTCAATGAGTATATACAACATTTAACATGATAGCATTTTGATTGCAACTGCATACTGGTTAATGCATAAGCGAAGAGCACTAAACATTACTGAAGAAGATGCTGTTTTCCAAGAAATCTAAAAAAAATTAACAGCACAAAGCAAAACGAAAACAAAATCGTTTTCGTTCAATTTTCTTTGACCGGTTTCCCCGCGGTGCCCGCTTAACAAAATATTTCCTTTGCTGTAAAAATGAAAAAAAAAATGTTGAGCCGAACAAAACCTGCTTTTTCGAACAACGAACAATCTTCAATAAATTGGTATTTCACTTGGTCAAAAATTGATGCCATACATGTCATCTTACAAGGCGGATATAGCATGCAAGAGAGAAGATCAGTGGAGAAAACCTCATATATTGAAAATTGCGATATGCGATACCTATAGGGAATAAATTCAAATTATGACAGGATTGCCACACTCAGCAACCACGCCACTCGCCATGCAGCGGTCCTTCTTTGAAGGACGTGTAGGTTATTAAATTATCCAGCAAACCAAGTGTACTTATTATTGGCAATTATCCCTTGCGCTTGACCATTTTCGAACTTATTGGAGCGAATTGAGCTTTGCGTATAGAATTCGTTACGATACGCCAGGGATATACAAGAAATCTGATGCAACCACTGGGCACTTTTTGATCTAGTTCATGATCACATCAACAAATATGTGTCAATAGGATAAGAATAAAAATGTATAACGAGTAAAAATTGCAACATAAGTTGAACGGACTAGTAAATGTAGCTCAGCATGTGAAAAGAATGAGAAAACAAGAAAATTTTCTTCTTCAATGTTGCTGTGCATTTTTTCGTACGTGGTAAGATAAATGCGATGAATTGCAACATGATTTAGTCTGTTATCAACGCGCAAAGCGATCGGTTGGTCTCAATTCAATAGTGGCTCCAGTGTTCAGAACAAGCGAGAAACGATGGCCAGTGATCTCCAATTTAACAATAATAATTCCGAGAAATGTGATCAGAGGTAAATTGAGATTTACGACTTAGAACTTTTGTTTGGAAATAGGCAGGCCAGATTGAAAGGCTAATATATAAAAATGCATACCGTATACGCACCTAAATCCCAAATTTCACGTGGTTTTGAAAAATCCTAAAATAATGTGTAATGTGGATATTTATTCTTCTTCTTCTATTGCATTATTGTAGAGATTTTCAACTCTTAGCTGGTTTGTCTCTTTTATGTGGATATTTAAAAATTGAGCAGATGTTTGAGAAAAATTGAAATTAGTAAAATATCACAATACACTACAAACTATTGGCAAAATAAGCGGAGTAAGACGCCACGCGAAATCATAGCATTTCAAGGCACAGTATATAATTAAAATAAAAAAATTAATTGAACTCGTGAAAAATATTTACCTAATGTTGAGCCATATACAGTCGATAATTGCAAGCCAGTCTCATCTGTAAGAAGAACATTGAGAAGATAGTAGTTATTATTATTAAGTCAGTTTTACCGGAAAATGTGTGAAAAAGTCTAAAGCAATAATTCCCGAAAATCTCCAAACCATATGTTGTAGTTGGTCAGAGAAAAATGCGGATTTGAAAAAGCAGGGGTCACATGATGTACGACGATCGAAATGACTTTTTCATAAAAGTAGTTCATACGAAATTCGCTTCGTTCGACTTTCATAATAAGGCTCCAGATCTGTGTTATGTTTTTCGAGGAATTTAACTGTCTACAATCGCAAGCCTGTCCCGTCTGCATTTTTGTCAATTCTAGATAGAGCTGGAATAAGGGCGTAAAAGCTTTTGGAAACAATGGCTTCTCTCGATGATTTCTAGGAATTCAAGGCACGTCCACGCAAACCAACATAACCATCGGGTAGGGGAAGTCTTCTTCTACCCGATGGTGATGTAGATTTTCGTGGGCGAGACTTGACTTTCTAGAAATCATCGAGAGAAGTCATTGTTTACAAAAGCTGTTACGGCCTCATTCCAGCTTTATTAGAATTTTTAGAAAAAGTTAAAACATGATAAGGAACTGTCCACGTGGACAGTTTTTAAGTGATTTAGCACCCCTTCCCGGGTAAAGTCGGTTAACAAAACGAAAGTAAATCAATATTTAAGCTTGCAGCTTCTATAATGAAAACTCATTTTGATTTCAATTGTCGCGACATAAGTCTGATATCATATTGTGCTTTCATTATACAGTCAAGACTTTTTAAATGAAAGTAACTTATCTTGAAGTACTGCTGTTAACGTCTGTTAACGTCCTGCATCATTGAAAGCAGGATTAGTTTTCCGTTTGATTCAACAGTGTTAAATTTTGCTCTCATTTTTGGTGTGTTAACCGTTAAGTCAACCAAAATACTGGGGTATTCAAAATAAAGTGCATCATAACAGCAAATTTTGATTTAAATTTGATCTCCAGCTTTGCTCGGGCGTCTGTTACCCATTAATGAGAAACAGTTACCCAGTTAATGAGTAACAGTTACTCATTAATGAATGACATATACTCATTAATGGAAAAAACAATTTACTCATCAATAAGTTAAGCCACTTTTCTTCAAAAATTTGTATTTTTTACTCATGAATGGGTACTTTCAAGTTAGCGTCTACATACTTGTTCTCTAACTAAGCGTTCTAAGCCCAGTTAAAAAGCAGCTATATGTCAAAATAGACGTCACATTTAGTTTGAAATTTCGTTGTCAAAATTGGTGAAGTGCATTTTTTTTTTTAACTCTTTATTTGTTTCAAATTCAAAATAAATTACATTTCATTTTAAACCTAGGTGCTCCAGTTACTACAGTAACTTACCAGCCTTAATTGTTATGATATATATCTAAGTGTTTTTACATTGTTCCTGTCTTGGCAATTCAGTATTTTAAACAGGTTTTTTTAAACCTGCATGTCAGTATAACAATTGAAGGTGAAGTGCATTCGAATGGAATATTAAGTGTTAATATAAATAAATTTGTAATTATATTAATTTCACACTGAAATCAGGACTTCAAAGCGTTTTTAGCGAAAGCATTAAGCTTTTCTAAGCTCGAGAAATAGAATGCTGTTAAACTAATAATAACAAAGTCTACACTGTTTCAATTCAATGCACATTACAGTTTTTAACGTCAATTAAACAATCCATTTGGGGAACTTCAGTGTATTTTTTACGTTTGACAAGTCAACCCAGTTAGCGAGTGGAATTCAGACCCGTATTTTCTTTTTGTCATCAAGGTGACCATTTCCATGTTTGGGTGGTCCAAAAAAGACTTTTTTTCAAAAATTCAAATCTTTTGAACTTCTTTTTAGAAAAAATATAATGATTCAAAAATTGGGATTTTGTATTGAAAACGTTGATTGTATTTTTGTTATGGTTTTCATGGTTTGTAGACAGAAGGCGCAATATGTTTTTATATTTTTCCGATGCGTTTTTTTTTCGGTTTAAGTTATATTTTGTAGAAGTTATCAAGTTTTGGGTTTTTGCTCAATACTCCTATGCGGCAAGACAACCATGGGTCTCCATTGATTAATAGCGACTGCAATATGGTCACGAGCTATTCAGATAGGGAGGCCTATCTATACCCCCGCCCTCCTCACTCTTATAAATGAAATTGAAGCTTCAAACTGAAATAACTTCGGTGTTTCTGATTTTGTCAAGTTGGTATGTTCAGATGAATTCAAAAACCATTTCTCCATTTAATAGGCGTAGTTGGATATGGGGTGTGCTTACTGTATCCCTTCCGCCCCCTCAATTATACCAATTAAATTAAAGATAAAGAATGAAATAACGTCGGAGTTTCCCATTCTCTCGAATTGTTCAGATGGGTTATTCAAAAACATTTGTTCAATCTCATAAGAGCAGTTTGAAAGTGATTACCCCCACCCCCTTTCATACTCTTTTGGTGTAATATACATTGTAATATACAATGTCAGACGTATTAACAGAAATGCCATTGGATTGTAATGATTATAATTTAGTTTAATATATTCTACGATTTCTCAGGGTACTCTTTTCAATGCTGTTCGATCACCTGAAGCAAATATTGCTGTTGATCTGGGTCTCGGTGGATTTCTTGATAAAGTCAGAAATTAGCTTCACCCCTCGTTTGCTAGTGTTAGCATGAAGTCGCTAGAAATGTCTAAAAGGAATCAGCACTGTCAGAAATGGGGGCCTCCCTTAGCTCAGTCGGTAGAGGCGCAGCTACAAAGCAAGACCATGCTGGAGGTGGCTGGGTTCGATTCCCGGTCCGGTCTAGGAATTTTTCGGGTTGGAAAATTTCTCGACTTCCCTGGGCATGGAAGTATGATCGGACTTTGCCACACAATTATATCAATGCAAAAATAGTACAGGCATCGAAAGCTCTCAATTAATAACTGTGGAAGTGCATCTAGAACACTAAGTTGAGAGCACGCAATAAGCTAATATGCGATATGCAATAAGCTTGAAATGCGAAGAAGAAGAAGAAGAAGAAGAAGAAGAAGAAGAAGAAGAACTGTCAGAAATGACGTTTGACTTTGATTTGGATGGGCTACAGCCCAACTAATGGGAGCCAAACTAAAACGTAACCCAACGAGCGAAATCTGACTGTATCTGCGTCTGAGACGAAACTCCTGAAGACATCATCACCTCACATCTGTACGAACAAGTGGATATTAAATGTTTACACGATAAACAAATTTCGATTAAAAAACTGCGTATAGCCATCTTCAAAAATGTAATAAAAAACAAATAGTCAAATCGGCACACATTGCAAAAAATAACAATTAACTTTATAAACCTGAAGCTAAAAAAGCTCATATACCACTTTTGTATTTATGTTGACGGTGGTCAGCGTGACTGCCTCTCACACTCTCACCCTACTGGGCCCAAGCAAGGTCGTAAGGAGTTTCTAAGGCGAAAAATCTTAGGCAATGTCTTCCTATAGTCCCGGTCCATGCGGTTATGGGATCTATATTTAGTGTACAGGATAAGAGTGAGCGCCCAAGCAACCAGAACAGTGCTGAATGGAAAAAGATGCCTCTATAAAATATTTTAAATTTTGCCAGTTTAAGTATCAATATCACAACCAGTGCCAAATTTTGGATCCAGGATGACCCCATATTAGTTGGTTTTGAAATATGAATTACAAAATATTCTCTAAATTTCAATATAAAAAACACTAAAAGTTTAGACATTTTAGAGGTTTTAAACGGTTGTTCATGCACATCTACACCAATAATTATCTTCTACATGAAGATTATTTTCAATTATTTTTAATAATACCACTTTCTATGTTCGGGAAACATGTCTTTCATCGATGTCTTCAATTTGATTTCAATCAAAGCTAATGTGTTGAAACATCTTTCATCTGAACGATTGGTGACCATCATGCGGATATATATTTGCACACCAACGTATGCATAGCAGCTAGCTCGTCATCATTCAAAAATCATGTTTGAGATACTGTCCTAATCTAAGCAATTGCTACAAACTGAACTATTTTATCTGCAAGCAAGCCCTGTTAATCATTGGGATGGTAACTAGCTTTCAGCTTCAACCCATAGCTCTGCTCCCGATAAACTGTAAAGATGAACAAAAAAATAATTAAACAATAGGTACCTATCCATGCTCTCAGTGTACAGGAGATGTATCATTCCAAACATAGAATTATACCGAGACTGCTAAACTCTCCAAAACTATTATACTTTTATATAGCAAAGCCTTTCAGACAAAATGCTGAATATTTTATATAGTTAGAAAACGTGGCATAGAGAATTAATTAATATAAAATATTAGAATAAAGTCATTTTTAAACAAATACAAATAAAATGCGACAATATATTTACAGATACAAGATCACTCCGGCGAAATCCGATGCGGAAACAGCCATTATAGCTTTTGACCCGTTTAAAGAGAGAAAGTGTGAACATCCTACAACGTGAGTATATCTTTGGTTTAAATTGGAAACTTTCTCATATACCTAATAATTAATTATCAATTATTATTAATAAAAAATAAACAACTAGAAACAGTAGTATTCTCAAGATAGTTGACAATCTATTTCATTCCTTTTCAAACATGATATTACATTACATACTTTCTGATATTACTAACCGTATCACAATGAAACAGGCATGCTTATTATCAAGACATTATCAAAAATTTAAAAATAATGCCCATTTTTTTCATGAGTCACCAAAAGAAGTCCCCTTTTGCGAAAACTAAAGTATATCAATAATTCTGAAACAGGTCGTAACAAAACATTCCTTATTAATATTTTTCAGTGATGGAGAAACGTTAACACATTTGTTGAAAGCATCGCTGGGTACTGGAATTTTGGCAATGCCAATCGCTTTTAGCTATGCTGGTCTTGTGGGAGGTATTCTGGCTACGATTATGACCGCGATAGTTTGCACCCACTGTGCTTATGTTCTGGTAAGCACATTTTGGTATCATGTAATATGATGTTTGATTAATGTAATCATTTAATGTTTAGGTGAAATGCGCACATACGCTATATCAGAGAACGAGAAAGACAGCTATGACATTTTCGGAAGTAGCAGTAGTTGCACTGGAAAATGGACCTCAATGGGGCCGGAAGTTCGCACCATTCATTCGTTATTGTATCACTTATGGCCTTTTCATAACATACTTTGGAACATGTTCAGTGTACACCGTCATTATCGCCACAAATTTTGAACAAGTCATAGAGCATTACACCGGCACTGATATGAGCTTGCGCGTCATGATTGCACTTCTGCTGGTTCCATTGATTCTACTGTCATGGATTCCAAATTTGAAATACCTTGCACCAGTCTCGATGATTGCCAACGTCTTTATGTGTGCCGGATTGGGAATAACGTTCTATTATTTGGTGACTGACATGCCAGCTTTGTCCGAGCGGCCGATGTATGTTTCTGTGTTAAATTGGCCTTCATTCTTCGCGATTGTCATTTTTGCTATGGAAGCTATCGGCGTTGTTATGCCTTTGGAAAATCAAATGAAAACTCCTCAAAACTTTATCGGTCTGTGCGGAGTACTCAACCAAGGCATGGCTGGTGTTACCTTAGTTTATATTTTATTGGGATTCCTTGGATACGTACGATATGGAGATGCAGCACTAGGCAGCATAACTCTCAATCTACCCGTAGAAGAAATGTGAGTCAACTTTCATTACAAAAAAATCAATATGAAGTAATAATAACTTTTTTTTTTATCATATACAGTCCAGCACAAGCCGTAAAGATTCTCATTGCCCTTGCTGTATATTGCACGTTTGGACTTCAATTCTACGTCTGTCTGGATATTGCATGGATTGGTATTAAAGACAAATTTAAGAAGAGGCCTACGTTAGTCAACTATACAATGAGGTATGTATTGAATAAATAAAAAAAAATAATTCTTTTTTATAATCATATATGAAATCTTTTCAGAACCATCCTCGTTACAGCAACTGTGCTACTTGCCGTTGCTGTGCCAACTATTGGACCATTCATTGGATTAATTGGAGCTTTCTGTTTCTCGATTCTTGGTTTACTCATTCCCATTTTGATTGAAACCGTTACTTATTGGGACCAAGGATTCGGAAAATTCAACTGGGTTATATGGAAAAATGTAATAGTTTGCTTTTTTGGCATAATTGCCCTAGTATTTGGGTCTAAAAGTTCAATCGAAGATATCCTCAAGCTATATTTTTAAGAATTCCTTTAGATTTCACTTATTTTTTGCTACTGCGCTATGCGTTGTTGCGAGGCACAAAAATACGTCCAACTATGATTGTACTAATGCTTATTTGTACTTATACTCTCAAGACTTTAGGGATACATAATGAGATAGGACTATTATGCATATTGAATGTAGCTCTTGATGAGTACGAACAAGCAGGGTGTTTTACAGAAGATCTTTGAATACCTTATGTGCATTACGTGATTGTGATACAAACTAAGACAAGTGCCTAGTTTAATTCGACAGTGCAAGTTTTGTAAAAACTGCCTAGAATGAAAATGGTATCGTCAAATATGCGATAACAACATGTATTAAGTGTGTTTCTTACTCAAATAAACAAAAAAAATAAATAAATACACTTATTAAAACCCACCATAAACTATCGGCAGCAGTAGTATGTAGTTTATAACAAAAAAAAAAAAACATCGAAAAAGATCAACTTATGAGTAATTGAAGAAGATTCTTTTTATAAAAGAAAATATTAAATTTGTGAAATACGCATAAAAAATTTTTAGCATTTCAAAATATTACTATCTGCTTGAAACATATTATTATTATTTTGATGTTTTGAAATCAAAATTGACATTGTATTATTTACTCTCATAATTTAGTGCATTGGTGATTATTTTTGTTTTACATTTGCGAAACGCGAGTTTCCTAATAGGCTTGCTGGAATTCGAAAACAATATATCATTAGGAAATGAAGCTCATATTGTAGTACTAAAAATTATCCGATTTCTTCATTGTGCTCATGTTCCATTTCATTCTACCATTGAGAAAACAATAACAGTTGTGGAGCAAAACAATTTTCGTTTTAATACATTCAATCAGAAACAAATTATACACGATTTCCATACCTTATCCGAAAGAATTCATCCTCTCAAATTGAATAAAGAAATAATAATGTAATAGCTGAACATCAACAAAAATATCACCTTAGAGTTAAATCGATGATCCCTTCATAAAAAAAAGGTTAAAAAATGGTCGTATTCTTAAGTATAGTAAACCTGTTCTCTGCTCATCCATCCCATTCCTTGGCATATGGTGCAATGAAAACAAAGTGCTTCAGCTAACCGTTTCCCACAAGTTAAATCTTTGGATGGGTTCCGATTAATTTTTTTCATAACAATCCCGTGCTTGGAACAGGATTCTCCTCTTGCCGAAGCCGTTCCTTGGCCGTATATTTTAAGATTTTTCATACCTAACAGAACTTTTTTTCTCTGAAACAAGAGCAGATCCTTCTTTTTCCCACTATGTGGCAGAAATAGCGCTAAACCTTGTTGTAAAGCCGTGGTTATCGAATGACAAAATTCGATTATGAGAAATCGAGCAAAGCTACTTTCCTTCTACCCACTCATTTTACATCTTGGATGAATTACGCATCAACAATGTTGCATCCTTTTTTTCTGTTCATTCCTTTAGTTAAACTGGAACAATATATATGTCGTATGATAAAAAGTTTACATAGAATTCGGCCTTTAGTAGCGCTGCCAGGGGTGGTTTGTAAAAATTATTTGATTAAAAAATTGAAATACCAGGGGTATCATGGGAATTAATTTCTATTAATCAACCATGAAACCACAGACAAACAGACGTAACACTTCATTGTGTATCTTCGTTCACGCATTTAACGGTTGATTTTAATATTATCAGTTCCGCGAACTACTCGTCGCAGCGCTGGCATCGAATCACTTTGACGTTTCTATACATTCTATAGAACTTTTATGCAATATTGTTTGCGAGTTAGCGAGCAAGCTTGTTTTCCGCGAGAAGGCCGAGAGATGTCATTACTGAGGTCCTATGTTTTGAGATACTATGTTTTCAAGAAAAACTTTTTCAAAGAGTTACGTCTGTTTGTCTGTGATGAAACCATTCCCGGAAAAATAAACCCTGAATTGAACTATAAATACACTAAAATGTATAAGCCTTTTTCGGTGAAAATTTCAAGATGGTATTTCATACCGTTTTTGAGATATGCCCGAAAAACTGATGACCGGTCTAGCGTTCTTCTTAAAAAAAATCAAATTGTTCTTTCTCCGCGTACGCATGGTGTCCGAGAAAATCGGAAAACTTTAACTAAGGTTTTCCGGAAAAATTGGCAACCTTGATTTTTTTGAAATTTATTTTTGTTAATATATCTATGAACGCTCACGCTGAGTGAACGCTCACGAATCATAAAATCGCTGATTTTGACACTCTGAACCCGAATTTGGCTGGTTTTATGTGTCAAACACTTGCCTTTCAACCTCTTCTTGCATCTAACTAGTACAAACTATAATATAGCGACTATAGTACAAACGGATTAAAGGATGTTGTAATGAGCGGGAATTGGTAATCATTGAATTTGCAGTGTGTGTGTGTGTGTGTACAATTTAACTCCCACTGTCCGGCAGTGTTATTATGGAAGAAAACTGCTTTTTATTACCCTTAAATTAAAGCAGGTTTAGTCCGGGAGTTAGAAGGTGTTAGCTCTATTGCAGCTCCAGTGACCCATTTCAGAATGCCTGGTAATTCACGACCACTCCGAGGTCACTTTTACTTACAATAAGCCCCGCATGTTCACTCTACCTTTATCAAATGGATAATGGTATCATAAACACACTTACAGATTTAACAAGATTTAAAAAAATATTATTTTCAAATCTGGCACGTATATAGTTTTGAAATTTGTTCAACTGTATTAAATCGATTTGAATGGACATTTCTTACCAATTTAGTTTCGAATACCTCTTGATTCATCTGCTGGCAGCACTTACTTACTGGTAATCATTGAATTTGCAGTGTACCAAAACTGCTCAATAAATTTTGATTTAGAAACACATAAAAACACTGTGGTTCTCAAGAAACAATTTAGGATTCAAATTTACCCATCTGTGCTGATTTTAGCCAAAATAAAACACAAAAACAACGTAGATTTAAATTAAATTTTTTAAACCGACACCTTAAACAAAAGAATAACAACTCGTGACGTTTTCGTTTGGAGATGAACTAGCCAAAAGGCTAAAAATCTCCTTAATAAAGGTTAAAAAAAAAAAAAAAAAACTCGTGACGTCTGACATTTTTGTCGAACATGCAACTGAAAAAGACGTTTTTCTCAGTAATAAGACATATTTCAGCAAAAGTAATAGTAACCAATGAAATTTAAGGTTGTTTAACGTGTAAGTACGTATACAAATGATATACCTATTGCAATTGATCCGAAAAATAGCCCTTTTTTACAAAAGTAAGCGGTATAGCGGAGACTGGTTCATTTATAGTAGGTAAATAATTTTCATTTTGCCAAAACACAATTTGAAGGATGCAGGTAGAGGCCTTTTTAATGAACCACTAACGTAGAATGCGGCACGCGAGCACCAGATGAAACATCAACCAAACCGTTTGTTTACATCAAAATAAGGATTTTTCACAACGCAAGTTAAAGCATTTTTCATTGAACATCTTGCCAATTTACATCGGAATTGTTTTATCACAGACAAACAGACGTAACACTTCATTGTGTATCTTCGTTCACGCATTTAACGGTTGATTTTAATATTATCAGTTCCGCGAACTACTCGTCGCAGCGCTGGCATCGAATCACTTTGACGTTTCTATACATTCTATAGAACTTTTATGCAATATTGTTTGCGAGTTAGCGAGCAAGCTTGTTTTCCGCGAGAAGGCCGAGAGATGTCATTACTGAGGTCCTATGTTTTGAGATACTATGTTTTCAAGAAAAACTTTTTCAAAGAGTTACGTCTGTTTGTCTGTGGTTTTATTGTACGATTTTCCACAGATCTGATCTGATTTGCACTTAAACTATTCACACACAAGAAATCCGGAAGATCATCATAACCACTAAGGCACTATTATAATTTTCCATATTTCTCAACAAAAATATTCAAGAACACCAGCAAGATCCTTGCAAAAACAATACAGCATTAAATTGTTCAACTGTAGATCAAGTTTTGGAGCATCTCAGATGAATAAATTTATCAGGAAAAGTGAAAGTGTTTCGCTTCCCATGCCTCACGACTAATTTCTGCTCACAACACTCTTTTTGACGTTCTCCTATTCACCACCAGAGGTTGAATCAATCGCTTAGTTTCTATTAAAAATGCATATATGTACATAGTATGTGGCGAAAGCTGCAACAATTTAGGGGCCGTTCATAAAGTACGTAGACAGTCATCATTGTTAACAGGCTTAATGTGGCCCCAATGTTGGTTTGAAAAGCAAACCATCATCATTAATATGAAAAGTAATGTTTAAAGTGATTGATAACCGATATAACTTTATTCAGAATATTCAACATATGTAAAAAAATATATATTATACGCCTACATTGATTACGGAAACTAAGTCAAAGCTAAAACAATCATGCATTATTAAGCCACAGCTGTTTTATTCATATGTTGATCCAACGTTTGCGAAGTGCCGCCATTCGATGGAATTGAGCCTTGATAGTCGCTTTCATGATCTTGGCTGTGTTCGACTGCTTCCAGCTTTTGATTTTTGAGTCTGAGTTCGAAAACTTGGGTGATCGCTTCCCGGAAACACAAAAAGTTATAATCTATCACTCCTTGGCGAGAAAAGTTCTCTTCCCGAATAATGCAAACAAGTGCTAGAAATTTGTTAACTTCTCGAAGGTATAGTACTGTACTGTTGTTCATTTTGATAAGACTGGAACTTTGGTTATCAAAGGCAGCAACATCGGGATCATCTTTGGATCTGTAAATTAGTGAAAAATAGTACATTATGTTATATCATAGTCGATGATTTACTAACCCATAGATGCACGACAGATCTATTACAACATCGATCATGTCACAGCATAGTTCGTAACTTTGCATATCTACTGGAGAGCAATCTGTGGCAATGTAAATCTTAGATACCACGTCAAATAGAAAAGCTTTTTCAATTCCAGAGTTCTGAAAGTAAATATTTTATGATGAATATATGAAAAAACGAACTATTAACATATTTACCGAAATGAAAATATTGAGAAGATTTTCTAGTGTTGGCAACTGCGGAATAAGCTTCTGGACTACTTTGGAGAATGCCTCGAAAATCGAATGATCATAAATCGATGTTAGATGAAAGCTTAGATGAACTCCTTCTAATCCGGCATCGGCCAGGTCGTCGGTAGCTCGAGAATGGATATCTCTTTGCGATTCCATTTTGAAATCATCGCTTACTCCATCCACTTTATGGATAAAAACTTCAAACTTTATTCTCGGATTCACCTTGTGAGCTTTTGTTACAGTTTGGTTGAGTTTAGCCAATGCTTCAATGTAATCATCTTGAGCATCAATAACAAAGACCAAAGCTCCACAACCACCGAAAATCATGTCTGAATCAAAGGTAGGATCAAAAAAGTCAATTTGTCCCGGAAAGTCCCAAATTTGGAATTGCACAAAGCTGCTATTATTGATGTCATCCTTGACAATCTTATTAGTTGACTCTAGAAATAATGTTTCGTTCGGTGACATTTTGTGGAATACCACTTTTTGGATAGAGCTTTTTCCTGATCTGCGTAATCCCATCAGAAGAATTCGGGGCTTATCTTCAGCTAATCGAGAATTGCTGTCCTCATGGTCAAAGTTCCCGTAACCGAAATCCTTAGGAAAAGATCCCACCTGATAACCGATTTGCTCCTCTTCATCTTGATAGCTCTGTAGAAAAGTTGGAAATAAAATTTAGCTCAACTATAAGTATTGAATATGTTACCTACCATAATTGAATAAACACTTAACGTATGTCAAACAAAAAAACAATTCAGATTCCAGAACAATTTACAGAATTTACGCTTATCAAATATAAAAATGATAACAAAATACAGAGGCACGGATTCACGGGACGATGACTGAAATAATAACGCATTTAACTCTACATTAACATTTCAAACAGGCGGAACAGTCATCATACTCTCAAATTTCAAATTTAATTTATAGCGGATCAAAACTGACACACGCAAACTAATTTCAGCACAAGAGTGTCCTATAGGAAAGTTTACCGCTATAACATCTGATTGACGGAAGCGAAAGTTATGATTCGCAGGAAATCCGCATTTGAAGATAAAGTGTACATTTGGTACTTTCGCTCTTTTCATATGTTTTACTAAACTGTCACTTTGGGTTTATGTTCATTTTCAAATGAACGGTGGCTTCATTTTACGCAGTTGACCACACAGTACAGTACTACCAATAAAATTTGATAAAATGAATTGGTATTGACGACTGTCTCTGAGCCGGGCAGCTAAGGCTCTGAACCATTGGGTGGATTATTTTAACTTTTGGTTAAAATTTGACAGATGAAAACCCGAAAAAAAAATTACAGTGAAATTTTCAGTGGAAACAATGCTCTAACATTAATATTTATTGTCGACAATAAAAATGATTGTTATAATGTTGTACCCTTCCGAAAACGGCAAAACTGTTACCTAGCTGTACAATGAATGTACATAATAAAATGTTGTTACAATGATTTTTATTGTATTTTTCATTTATTTTATTGTTAACATGATTCGATCACGAACAATAATGAACAATTCTATTACAATAAAAAATGTTGTTACATTAAATATTGGTGTGTTTTCATTGTGGGTTACTTTACGAACAATAAAAATAAATCTGATTGAAGCATGCAGACTATGAGAGGGTCAGCAACACTGCCAATGTAATCAAGATAGGTGCTGCTCGTATGGCTCTTGCTTTGACAGTTCGTTTGGCTCTATTCGTTGCCAAGTCAATTGAACGCCTACGACCAGATCGGTTTGAGTTGAACTCAACTCTCCTGCCTCATCTAAATCCCGCTTAATGCAGACCTTTTCCGTGCAGTCACTAATCATACAATAATAATAAAAAAATCCACCACTTGAAGATGTCAGGAAATCACTCTCAGGTGGAAGCATATTTTCATGGGCGATTCTCTCCAGTAGAATGCATTAACTTATCAACGACGTTCAACCACCAAGGAGACGTGACCTAGAGAGATCGAGTGCAGGGGAGTTGGCTTCCATTTCTCACAAGTTCCGGATCGAATCTCAATCCATAACCAGTAAAAAAAGGACTCACCCGTAACAGACATTACCACCCCCTTCCCTCCCCGGGGCGATGTTTTATTTTTTCGATTTATTTTTAAAGTCGATAAAGTAGATCTGTCAAGCCAACACATACACTCTAAAGTACACTGTTATTTTTTTTAATCAATAAATTCGCCAACCAACAGTAAAATAACAATAATATATAATGTTATTGAAAAAAAATTATATGGGGAAATCACGAAAATTTCATTGTTAAGATACTTAACAACCCCCCTTTTTTATTGTAAATTTTCCATTTACCATGAAATTTACTGTTTTGTACAACATAAATCAAGGTAAATTTATTGTAGACGTAACAATATAAATCATTGTTAAGACAATAATTTTCGTCTTATTGTTACATTGTTTTTTATTGTATTTTTGTTGTTATTTTTTTTCGGGAAGTTATCGATTAACCCTGCTATCCGAGCATGGTTATTTCTGACAGACAAGAAGTTAAATTTTGACAACCGTGGCTCGAAAACCGGTCGATCGACAGTACGGGGATTTTCGAACATAGAAAATAACTTTCGAAATGTCACTTTTAACCACGAGGTAAATTTAACTCGGCAAATGGTTCACAGCCTAAATATGTATCTACGAAACGAAAATTAATTATTTTATTCATGTGTTTCACTCATACTTTTCTGCCAAAACATCAACCTTATACATTTCATAAGACAAACCACATAGGTCCTATAAGAATGCATAAACGATAAGTGTGACCATTTATGCATTTCATTTGACACATGATCTTCCACCAGGATGTTCAAAAGCATAACATCTCTAATCACGCCTTCCTTCGTAAGGGAAGTAAGCCGTTGGTTCCCGGTTCATGAGTTGATGGGTCGATAGGTAGGATCCAGGTGTGGGAGCTGCCTCCCTGGCGTCGGTAACATTGGCGCTCAGCACGGAAAACAAGATCGATGGAAAACAAATCATGGAAAAAGTAAATAACAACTAATCGCAACAAGTGATGTCTAATAAGTAGAGTTTTACTACTAGTTTTCCCAGTTTTTTTTTCTTTTTTTAATTTTCAATCCCAGCCACAATATTAGCACAGACAAAAATTATAAATTATTCAATTCAGAATGTTCCATTTGCCAATAATCATAAAGGTGCTGTAAACACCTAGGTTTATCGAGAGCTACCACAAAAACTATCATCAATGTGTTCGACATGGTACGCTGCATCACACGAATTTTGATTATATTGGGCTTTTAATGTTAGATGGTCTGGTTCATGACTATCAAATAACCATTCAGTCGAAAACATTAGAACAAGTTAAGCAACAATGATGTGGTTCCGCTCAATCATTCGAACGCTGGTGATATTATTCGTACTCTATACATATCTGAGTGCTTTGCCTCAAAATGGGTAAGTTGATTCCTTGTAGAGTCCTTTTTCTATCACATCTCGCAAATTCAAGCGAGATTTCAAGAACACACAACTCAAGATCTACGAGGTTTATACATCTGCAAATTTCAGAGATTGCTTGCTTCTCCGCAGCAAACAACAAGTAGTAGTTTCAGCAACGTGTATTTACAGAAACATTATTATTTTAAAATGTGAAATTGCGAAGTGTAACACGAAAAAGAACGCTACAGGGAATAACCTTAATACTGCAATAAGGTTTTGCACCGCCGGAAGTTAACCTCAATCAGATGACAGCTTAGTGGTACTATTTACGTGGACTTAGTCGATTTTTCTTGGATAGATTTTATCGATAACTTTTCAGACTGCACTGAGATGTAAACCACACGTCTGCCAGGGGGAACGACATTCATTTGGATGTATTTTTTCAGTCTAGTAATTACTTGGGATTTTCGGGGAAAAACATAATTGATGGGATTTTTTTGAGTGTGTCGTGTTGACGAAAATAGAGCACGGATAGAAAAAAATAGATGGGATATCTCAGGGAATGAATGTGATGTGAGAGGTGTTAAAAAGTTTCAGAGGGATACAAGTCCGAACGCGAAGAGGATAGGTGTAAAAAGATGAAAAATCTGTTGCACAGCGTCCGTAAATTACGTGACGCTTATATATCGTTACAAATTATTACATAGGGGAGGAGGAGCTTTCCGTTACGTAAAAACGAGGACATTTAGTTTTTTTTTTTGTTTCTTGATGTAAAGTTTGAAAATACAGGTCAAAAAATGTTATCACTAAATCTTGTTTGCAAAATGGATATGTTTTAATTTTATGTCTTGAGATTTTTCTATGCTAAAACTTTTGAAAAGCAGGTACTCGATGGTACGCTGATCTTTTGTTTTTATTTTGAATATTAATAATACAATTACCTAGAAATAAAAGACATACCGGAATCAAAAATAAATTAAAAGAGACGGGCGGATGGGGGGTGTATTTTAGAGCGTTACGTAATAAATAGAGGGGGATCATTTTCAGAGTTACGTTTTGTTCCAAAGGGGTGGGGGGTCGAAATATTGATTTTTAGCGTAACATAATTAATGGACACCGCCCAACAATGTTAACCAAAGATCACAGCTCAAGTGCAGAAAACGGTTCCGTACCAAGGCTCTGAACCATTTGGTGGATTATTTTAACTTATGGTTAAAATTTGACAGATGAAAAGTTATCGATTAACCCTGCTATCCGAGCGTGGTTACTTCTGACAGACAAGAAGTTAAATTTTGACGACCGTGGCTCGGAAACCGGTCGATCGACAGCACGGGGATTTTCGAACATAAGAAATAACTTTCGAAATGTCACTTTTAACCACGAGTTAAATTTAACTCGGTAAATGGTTCACAGCCCAAGTAGGTTGAAACTGCACAGTAGGAGGAACGGGTGGTGGCGATGGATCACTAGGTTCCGGTTAATATTCCCAGCTGTATTTGGACGGGAATTTGATTCACAATATTCTCGCACAGAAACTCCATCAGCCGGCGGGTGTCTTCCTTCACCATTAGCTTTTTCTTCTTCGAATCCTTGACCAGCAGCAGCAACGAGTAAAACTTGGGCCGAGTGTAAAATGACCTTAATTTCTTTTCCACCTGCTTGTCGTAACTTCCATGCTACATGGTTCTTATCCGTCAAATTCGATCGGTTTGAGTCTGGGAAATGGATGTGCGTTGCCGTCTTCTCCGTGATGCACTTGATGTTGTCCCGCGACCTATTTTAGACGAGTGTTCCGTCATCATCAGGAAAATCCCAAAGGCTTGGTAGATAACCTTTTTTTGCTGTTTTATTTAAGCATTCCGCTAACAACCCAATTTCATTACTTCATTATGATGGCTACCAAGCCTTTGGGATTTTCCTTATTAGAGAGTTGAATAGATTTTTCTCCTTTAGTTTACTTAAATCTTTGGTTTTTATTAGTTAGGAAGGTCAACACATTGTAGTTTCATTTTTATACCTATGATCTTGACTTTTATACCTAGGGGATGAGTACTTAAGGGGGTTATATTTTGATAAGTTCTTTAGTGGGAATGACACTGATGAAGACTGCACATTGTAGTCGAAATACGTATCTGTCATGGATACCAAAATTAATTAAGTGGAATTAAATGGAGGATAACCTTTTTTGGCTGTTTTATTTAAGCATTCCGCTAACAACCCAATTTCATTACTTCATGTTTTGAAATTATTTTAGTATTGGAATACGGGATAAAACAAAATATTTAAAATGGAAAGCAAATAAATGGAAATCGGCAGAGTGTGTTGTTAACAAAGAAAAAAATGACACGCTGAAAATTGTTTACCATGATTATTTATTGTTTATTTCATGCTTTTGAATTAAATTCAAACATACATATTTTTGTTGAAAATGT